ACGGGCGAAAATTAAAAAATAATCATCAAATGATTGAAATTTTTTAAACAAATCCATATAAATTTTGTATAATTTTTTCTTTAATCAAAAATGAAAAGAAGGTGAAAGAGAGAAAGTAAAAGTGAGAGAGAGAAAAAAAAGAGAGGAAGAAAAATTATGCATCACATAAGTTATTGTCACCAATTTTAATACTAACAAATTAACACTATCAAAACCCTTTTAGTCTTTTTTCAAAAAATGTCATACTTCTCCTATTGAAATTTATTTCTATCTCTCTCTTTGTTCGCCGTCTCCAACTTATTTTATCCAAAAAATTTTTTCCATTTATTTCCCTCCAATAGTTTTTTTCTCATCTGCTACATGACCAATATTTTTATTCGAGAAAAGCAGAAATAAAAATTAAAAAAAAAAGACGAAAGAAAAAAATCTTTACATTCATGTTTGAATTTTATTTTTAGAATGAGAGAAAAAGTTGAAAAAAAAACAGAAAAAAGAAATGAGATAATTTTACTGATTCGATGAAAATTACTTTTTTTCTTTCCTGTCTCTCTCTACCTCTCCATTTTTTTCTTTTTTCTATTCCTTCTATTTTTTTCCTATAATTTTAGTTCTTTTTTTTTTTTTTTGTTTTTTGCTGAATAAAAATATTTTAAATTCTTAAAACGTTTCTGGACTGTGTACAAGTGCCAATATTATCAAATTGTTTTGCTAGTATTTTTTTCAAATAAAATTCCATTTTATATGTAAAAACACTTTTGAACCATATTTTCATTATGTCATATGTTTTTCTTGTTGTTTCTTCTGCAATGAATTTATTAATTTGCAAAATTAATTCACTTAATCAAAGTTTTGTTTATTTTATTATTTTTTTTTTTGAAAAATTATTTTAACTAGACAATTTCTGCAGTTTCTTTATTTTTTATTGTTTTTTAATTATTTTTTAATTATTTTTTTTTAATAATAATTATTTATTATTTATTTTTATGTCAAATCGTTGAATAACAATTTTATTCTCTTTGTAATATTCGTTCATTGATAGAAGAAATTTTCAAATTTTTTATTAATTGCTAAGTTATCGAATTTAGCTTTAGACAGAAAGAAAAAAAAATAGATTTCAGAATTTAAATCAAAAATTTTTTTCAAAAAATTACATGAATTTTTTTAATTGATAATGGCCTACATATGATCTCTTCATATTTTTGTAATATATGATGATATAATCATTATCAAAAAACTGAAATTACAGGCATAGTTTCAAACTATTTGCTAAACGAATGATAGCGATTATATATTTAATTAGTATGATAAATTTGAAAAATTTTAGTTTTCATCATTTTTACATTTCAATAATTAAATTTGAGAAAAAAAATTCAGTCAGCAATTAAATGGTTATGATATCATTTACAGCACACTTTTATATTTTGCTAAAATGAACTGTTTGTCTAATAATAAGTTTAAATGAATTATCATTCTCTGCTAATTGCTGATAAAATCATATTTGGAAACTATTTTCCTTATCATTTCTTAGTTTTTTCCACCTTCTTCAATCAAATTCATTTCTTTTCTTTTTTTTTCTGTACTAATTTCAAATGTTATTTTAATCGATTATCATTTCTAATTTATATTTTTTGATTTCTAATCTCCTTGTTTTTTTTCTTACTTTTCATTCATTTTTTTCTTATCATCACTGAGTAATTTTGGTTTATTGAAAAAAGAGCAACTTACATTGTTTTTTTCTTTTTCTACATCTCTATAAATAATTCATTCAAATATTATTTTTTTTTCTCAAATCAACTTATAAATTTATATGATAGTATAAAAAATAAATGAACATGTTTAAATTAAAATGAATTAAATGAACATGTTTTCACATTGTGCCTGTCTTTCATTTATTCCTTTTCACTGATTTATTCAATTTTCATTTCTTTTTTCAGTGTTGTTTTAATGAATTCGCAATGATCTTTTAGTATTTCGATAAAATTGATTTAAGATTATGAAGTCTATGTTAACTTAAAACAGTGCTTGGGAAGTGAAAAAATAAGGAAAAATTGGAATTAATTATTAAACTTTCAATTAACTCTATAATTTTGGATTACATTTGAGACAAAATTATTATATTTGCAAAATTGTTATCAAAATTATCAATACAAATAAAGCAATCATTGATTAATTACTGCTTACTTAATTTTTATCCCATAATTTTGTGGCAAGTATATTTCTGGTACTGATTGATTTATTCTATTTGAAATTATTTATTTCATTCGCAGATAAATTTAATGAAATTAACATTTTTTGTGCTATGAAATCTGCTTTTTTCGGAAATTTATGTCTTTTCCCACTTTTTCCCTTTTTTAAATCTAAATCATTTTGACGAATTTTTTATTACTCTGGATGTTAAGCAAAACTTATGGAAAAAACTTTAAAAATAATAGGCTTATATAAATTAGTAAACTAATTTGATCTGTCATCAATTTAATATTTTCTTTGCTTTTTTTGTTTTCTTGTTTTTTTTTTTTTTTAAATTTAAGTCAGGTTTTGTTTAAAAACTCGGCTTGTTAAATCTATAACAATCTATCGATTTTTATCTATTTAATCAATCCATGTTTATCACCGAATATGTGCTTTATAATATTTAATTATATGTTTTTCATTGTAATATAATTACATTTTATAAATAATAGAAAAAAGAATTATGCAGTAATTCAACATTTACAAAAATGGACGAATTAAAATGACCTCATTGTAGTTAAGTAAGCTTAGATGAAATTTAGGAAAGAGATGAAAGAAAAAAAAAATAAAAACACAGTATTTATTTCCATTATCATTTCGCTGTCCGCATATTAAATATAACTAGCAACGATTTTTGCGTTTTCAATTTTTTTCATCTTTGTCATCTGCTTTTTTCAAACACTAAAGGTCATTTGAAGGACATCGTTTCCAAAAACATAAATTTTGGAGAGTGGAAAAAAGAGGAAAGAATGAAATAATTCAAAGTCGGCTATGGATTAATGTTAATATTTACACAGTTCCCGACTAAAAATAATTTTAAACGAACTTTTCTATTCCATTCAAAGTGTCATCCAATAAGTCGTGAATTTCTAATTAATAATAATAATGAATGAATTCATTAATAACAATCTTTCTGAGAGATAAGATTTGAACAATATTTGAGCGATCATGTCCTGGAATTTTCCGCTGATAAACTGCGGAAAAATAAATTGCTTATGATATATTTCGGATTTATACTTTGTGTACACATATTCTGGGTTTAAAAATTGCATAAACTATAATCTAATAACCACGTAATATATTTACTTAGGTATCATAATCTGTTCTTTCTAAACCTCAAAATTATATGCTGCAATTTAAGAGCCGTTACGTGTTCTGTTATTATCATTAAATCATCGATGAATACACATGATACGTAATTTCCTAACAATGATACGTAACCATTTGCAACCCAAATATATCCTATCAAAAGTGAAGTGCTGAAATGTTGATTCATAATTAATTAAACGTCAAATTTGCCTTTTTAATTAGTAAATTAGCATATGGTTTAATTACCCAAGTTTAAGATTCTCCATTTACGAATCGAAACCGAAGGGCATACATTAATAAATAACGTTTAACGAACTGTTTGTTACCAGAAATTCGGAGGTAAATAAAGGTGGAACATATTGTTGGATTCAACTACAAACAGCGGTATTTGAAAACGACATTTAAATGAGCTAATCCAATCTTTGGTCATAACAGCAATAATTTGTAGTAGCCTAAGTCTAAATAACAATATTGCTGCCTTGTGTATATAACTCTGAAGGAGAAATGTTCGAGAAGAATAAATAGTACGAAATCAATGAAATAGAATTAGGAACTTTTTCAATGTTCGCATATGTATGTGTATGTGTGCGTATGTGAGTGTATGTAAGAGTATGATGTGTATGTAACGGCGGATGCAATGTGTACGAGAATGTTTCTCGAGATAAGGGGTGGAACGTCTCGTCGAGAGCGAACAAATGCACAATGAGGAACAACCCAAAAAATGGCTGTAAATCAAGACGTGAACTGCTGTGTATGTGTATGCATGTGCCTATGTGTATCTGTGCATGTGTGTACGCTTGTATGTGTGTTTATTTGTGTATGTGTGCATGCGTGTATGTTCATTTATGCATATAGTTAAAGCGTGCATGTGATTATATGTATGCGTATGGGTTGTATGTGGGTGTGTATCTGTGCAGTGGGTGGGTGTGGGTATGCAGGCATGTGTATTATGTATGCATATGTCCATGTTGTAATCCATTCACAAATGCTAACTTGAAGGAAACTAACTCATGTTTTGCTCTTCTACGCTTTCCTACGATCCTTCCCATCTTTCCATATCCATTTATCTATCATATCATATGTCACACCATATCGCCACATCACATACCGTGCATCATACTATGTCACGTATCAGCATATCATACATACCATAAACGTATTATACACACAGTATACCATTTATTATATTATGCCATGTTACTATAAGCAAACTATACACATACCATATCAGCATACCACACCATACCATAACCATATTATACTACATGTTATATCATATCATATGTCATCACACCACGTAAGCATATATCATATCACCATTTATCACATTATATCACATATAACATGTTATACAAGAATACCATATACATTATCGTATGTCACATATCAGCACAATATACCATATACCATACCACGTCATTGTCAGCACACACCATATGCCATACATGTCATATCAGCATATCATGCACCGTACCATCACATACCGAATCATGCCACATCATATACCGTACCATGTCTTGCACACACCATATCACTATATACTATACTACACAACATAATCATCGTATATCACATACCATACAATGTCATATATATATACCGTACGTCATACTATATATCAATATGTACTGTATAATAGCGCACCATATACCAATATACCAGTACACCAGATATACTGTAGCATGCATGCCACCACCATGTACCATATCATGCCATGCCATGTACCATATACTACTCATATACCATATATCATGCAACACAGCATGTATCGTGCCATACCACATCATATTATCGTACATCATGCACTATATACCGTACCGTACATGTACCATGCAATATGTCATGCCGTTTATACTGTCAACCACATGTATGTCACATCATATCACAGACCATATCATATGCCGCATATATCACATATCATTACACGTTATCACAATTAAGCGAAAAGTTAAGGCTTAAATATAATTCCGAAATTTTTATTCAGGAATATCTAATAAGGCATTAGAAATGATACATTTCATGATATAATAATAATAATTGTTATTATCAGGGAACGTATTTTTTTTATCATTATAATCTCAATTATCATTTATAGTGTAACCCCATTGTTATTCTCTATATTTATTGTAATTCATTATTTTTTTATTCTCTTCCCATTCCCACTTAGTTCTTTCTAAATGCCAGTCATACGAGTCGTGTGAATTATTTTTTCAAAATGGCTACAATTTGAAATTATCATTGTTGAGTTGTAATTTTCGAATATTCCGAATAAGGAAGTGCTATGAGATAATCAATCAGCACTTTAGATCTAAGAAAACTATACTGCACACTAAACTGTTCATCAAATCTGTTAGTGATGTTTATGCGAGATAATCAGTCAACATGATCATTTAGATTTCGTAAAATTAAAATTTTTTTTTTAAATTTTAATTTTTTCACGAAACTGGAAATTAGTTTCGAATAATTTCCATTATTCTTACTTTACAAACTGTTTTGCAAAAATTGAATTTGTAATGAATATTGTCTGATATTCTGTTTGGTATTTCCTTCTTTTTTTTCCTTCCTTTCTTTAATAGATTTTTTTTTTCAAACCCGAATTTAGGTTTCATTTAAATTTAATTTAACGCTTGCTCAAACTAAATTGTTTTTGCAGAAATTATATTTTTTTTTGATTTATGGTAATAGTTGAAGACAAAACAACAACAATACCAACTACTATTGCTACTGCAATTATTATCACTACTAATAGTTCTAGTATTACTGCTCTACTGTTATTATCAATAACGACGAATTTGAAATAAAATTGATATTTCTGGCCAATTATTTATTAAACTCATCCTTTTATTTCCGTCCTAATTTAATTCATCTATTATTTAATTGGTTATTATTATCAATATTATTACTGTTGTCAATAAATGATACAAGCTGCTCAAAAATAAAGAAGGGAAACAAGAAAAAAAGGAAGAAAAAAGGGAAAAAAAAGCAAAAAAAAACGAGAATGTGTAACGTGAATCAATATGAATATTGCTTGTAATTTACATGTCAATAATTATCTGGAATAAAAGTAAACAATAACAACAGCCAAACAACAAGAAAAAAAAAAAAACTAATAACACTAGTGATAATTGTTGGTTTACAAAACGGAGACATTACTACTAAAACAAACTTAAATCAGCATTGAAATTTTTGCTGAAAATTCTAAATGTGATTCAACCATCATACATATATTTCTAATATTGCTATTATTATACTGTAATGGAATATTGGCAACGGCCAACAACTTTACAATATCATTATTTAACACAATTTCATCTTATGCTAATAATAATATTATTACTATTATTTCCATTCTTACGAGTTACGTTTTGCAGTTCGGAAATTAATAATATTGATAAAAATGAACAACCAAAAACATTGGAATCAATTGATTCAGCAACTATTGCCGATACATCTTCTGTTAAGGTTTGTCTTATCAAATTTTTTTCTTTTTTTATCACACAAAATAAAAATTAATAAATATGACAATGTTGATGTAAAATAAAATTAAGTGAGTGGTAACAAATAAAAATTAGAGAAATGAAAAAAAAAAAAGAATGTGGAAAAAAAGCTAATATAAATTGCAACATGAATAATAATTAACTGATTTAGGAATTGTAGATTTCATTTGCATCCTTTAAAAACGCAATAAAATTACAAATGTGAAATACTTTATGTGCACATCATTCATAATTAAAATTGGATGTGTAAATTTAAGTAATTAAATCAATTAATGAATCTGATTTTTTTTTTTTAAAAAAAAAAAAACTCCTAACACATATGGAAAAGGAAATAGATAACGTGAATATATGAGATGAAATATCTATCAATGTCATTGATCGATCAATAATAATATATATTGATTTCTATGCAAAACTACAATTACTCACCATTTAAACAATTTTGATGAGCAATTTGGGATGAAAAAATAATTAAGGAACGGTGGATCTAATTAAAGTAGTAAAATGTGAAGTGAATGTCATCATTTAATGTGAGATTTTCTTCATTGCAATCTTGCCTTTGATGAAATAAATGAAAGGTTGGTAAAACGGTACTACTCAAATTAACTTTTCCATTTAATTTCCTTTTTCACATTCACTGCAATTGGATAAAATCTGCATATTCGTTTAATTCCCAATGATTCCCAATGAGGGACGAATTGGCGAGAAAAAGTCTTAAATAGAAAATATTTCATTGGCATTTCAAACATAAACATTCAAATAAATTTTCACAGATTGTAAAGAAAATTTTTTTTTAATTTAATATTGATGCCTCACAAAACAATAGGGATAAATAGATAAATGATATTAATTTAATACAACAAATTCTCTTAATGCATCTTATATGTTTATAAATGATAATACTTTGAATACATATTTATTTTTTTGCTACTTGTTAAAATAATAGGTTAATTTTTCAAGATTCCAGTATTTCAATGCAGTAATATGTATTGATTAATGACAAGTTTGTTGCTGATAAATAATCATTTCATATATTTGATTTGCTATCAAACCACTCGCTGTCATTCCACTTTTTGTCCACTTTTTATTGATTGACAAATAGAGAAATTCGTATATGTCAAAAAAAAAAAAAAAAAAAAAAAAGCATTATCTGTTTTTCTAAGTGATATAAAGCAAATGGAAAAATTTTTTTATATATATCAATAGACTAGAAAATTTTTGCGTCCTTTTTTCTCATTTTTTTTTCTGAAAAAAGAAAAGGAAAAAGTAATCTTTTGATTGGTTTTAAATAAGAAAATTTGGAATAATTTATGGAAAAATGCAAAAATTGATTTACATTTTATTTTATTATTTCAACCACTTCTTCCAATATTTCATTCAACTTTTAATCATTTAATTTTAAAGCATTGCAATAGTCTGGACATATGAGTATAGTTATTATTATTGTCATAGTTAAATTTTTTGTGAAATAAAATTTTGAAAATTTATTTTTTCTTTACATATAAAGTTGTAAATCATAATGTGAATAATTCATTGAAATAAAAATTATTTTAATTTGTTAAAATTTTGTTCTACGTTAATTTTGCTCATATTGATCTTTTTCATTTTTTTCATTTTTTTTTTTAGAATTAATTCATGTTGTCAAAAAAAAAAAAATCCCCTTATGACATATTAAATTTGCAAAGGAATGCTTTTTGCCTTAAAAATATCTTTGCTTAAATTATAAAATGACTAGGTTTTTTTTTTTTTTCAATAAATTTTCTTTACTCCAATAATTTCCTACTCTATATTTAATTCTTTCTCTGTTCATTCACTTCTTATTTGTTGACTTATTTGTTGCTGGAAAGAAGTGCTAAAGAATTCATGAAATTCCATGTTTATTCTAAGTCAGATGAACAATAGTTATAATAATAATAATAACAATAGTAGTTAATTAATTAACCTGCTAATAATAAGTACGAATGATAATAATACTAACAATAACGATAATGACAATAATAAAAACCATTAAAATATACGATTTTAAAATAAACTTGAAAATTCAATGAAATGAAACGCAATACTATTTGATTGTATTTTACATTTTAATATGAAACTTTAGCTCCATTTTTTTCCTTCTTTTTCCTTTTTCAATAGCGCTTTTTTCTGTTCTTTTTTCTAAAGTTTAAAAAGCAATTTGTAAGTGGCACAATATTAGAATGACAACGATAATAATTAATCAAAATTCTTTTTCATGGATGCAATTTCACTTAAATCATAAGTCATACTTTTTTTTTCATTCTATTTCATTTCTTTTCCCTTTTTTAGTGTCTTTTTTCTCATTTGATGATAAATGAAGCGATCAGATTGTGAAATATTAAAAATTTTTTCTAGCTAAAAGATACTAAGAAAAATTCTCCCGATTATTCATATAGCAGTATATTTCATGATTTTTGATCGCTGGAATTGCTATTAAGAATAATTTCGCTCCTTTTTTTGTAGAATTCTTTTTCCTTATCCAAATAAATTTCTTTCGAATGTTTATTATCATTTACATTATTCTTATTCTTTATTGTTATCATCATTATTGTTATTATTTATTATTATTGATCATACGATTATCATTTCTTCCTTCTGTTAATGACAATAAAAAAAAGTGTATGATAATAATAAAAAATAGTGTAAATGATAATAATAATAAAAAATTACTATTTTCTAATTATCATCATGATTATTATTATTTACAATTATTATTACATTTTCCTTTTACTATTACTAGTTTTACAAATATTATTTTGATGCTTTTTCTACCTTACAATATTATTTTTGCCATTATTAGCATTACTATTACTATTTTTTTATAATATTATTTCAATACTATCAATTTTTTTCAACAAACATTGTTATTTCAATCTTTATTTATTTATTTATTTATTTATTTTTATTTTTGATGCTTTTTTGCAACTTTCTTACTTTTTCCCTTTCTCCTTTTTTTCCTTCGTCCTCTCAAAATAATATGTTTTATAATATAAACTGAAATTAGGGATGAAAAAAAAGGGCCAATGCAATTTTTATCGCCGTATTTGCTTTCAACGAGTACGAATTATACACACAAATTTGTTGAATAAATTAAAACATAAATAGTAATTGAGTAAATTATCATCTAATAATGTTGATAAAATGAATAAAAAGTTTTCCATAAATCCTTTTTTTCATGTCAAAGTAATATATGATCAATAATTTGGATGACATTTTTTTTCTGGTGATTTGAAACGAATAAAATATTTAATTTAATTGAAAAGAAATGAATAAATGAGTAATTTCTTATGTTGCATTTTCTTTTTTTATCTTTTTCAGCTTTCTTTTTTACCGTCCCTTTTTTCTTTTTAATTATGCTTAACTTTTTTTTTGTGATTTTTTGGCAAATAAAATATTTTTGTTCTCCACATGTATAATCCAACACTTCTCTTTAAAACTGTTCAAATAAATTAACTTATCAACTACATATATTTTTCCTATGTTATTGTTGTTTGCAATGATAATTTTTGAGGAGAAGTAAAATAAATGTCGAAAGACTAATTTAAATATTTTAAATATGAAATCAACTTGAAATATATGTTTGGGATCAAGAAAAACATTATTAGCAGCAGTATTATTAGAAAAAATAAAAAGCGAATAAATTGACTTCCGATTCTTTTCTTAATTTTTAACACGCTCTTTTCTCCATTTTCATCTTTATTGACATCAAAATAAATATCATCTTCGATTTTATTAAAAAAGGAAAAAATTTATTCCTCATTTGGCAAATTTGGTAAAATTTTCTAGGACAAATAATTTTAAACTAATAAGAAATAAGATAATTTTATGCATATAAATCGTGGATTTTTACTTTCGATTAATTAATCATATAATTACTGCGTGTTTCTTAATTCAAAGATAGCTGAATAATTAGCTAATATTTATCTTTTTTTTTGTTTAAAAAAAAAAAAAAAAAAATCAACATTTGATTAAATAACTATTTGAGAATTTTTATAAGGATAAGAGTTTATCATTTCCGTTTCATCTATTCCTAATATTTTCACTTTTTTCTCATCCATTATGAACTTCTCTTATTCATCACCTTTCTTTAAAAAACGATAATTATTAAAAACTAATAATAGTATTTTTATAGAGATGAATTAGAAGAAAGAGGAAGAAACAAGGGGAGAGAGAGAGAGAGAAAAGAACAAAGTACTGTTTAAGATTAGTCTGTAATGTTGAAAGAGCAATCACTTTTTTCTTTTTCTCGGGACATTATTAAAGCTTTGAGAGAATCAAAACGGCGATAATGAACGGAATTTTTTTTTCTATGTTCCATTCGTGTCATCTGTCTGACAGACAATCCTTTTCGTAATGTCATTTATTTTAACAAACGGAAAGACAACAAAATGATGTCACATACATACACTTATATATATATATATATCTTTGTTGGTTTTAAAAATTTTACAAAAAAATGAAAACCGAAAATTCAAAGAAGAAATTATAAAAAAAAACTTAACGATATTGAAAATTTTTTGCAATGATATATTTATATAAATGTTTTATTATCATCCCGATTCGTTTCTTCCTTTCTTTTTCTTTTTTCCTTTCTTTTTTTTTTGATTAATTATTTATTCAACATATTTGATAAAGCGAATATAAGAATAAATGAATTAAAAAGAAGAAACCAAACGCTTTTTTTTGTAATTTAAAAACAATTTTACTTAAATTTTAAATTACCCTTACACTTTATTCATTCATTTCGTTCTATGCTATCATTTATGCGTTGTTTTAAGATTCACATCAAAAGAAGAAAAATTAGGATAATTTATCAATATGCATTATTTATTTGTTATTTTGATAGTACAAAAGTTTCACTAAAATTTAAATCTTTTCCTATTTCAAATCAATTTATGTTGTAATTGTCATTAAGTACTATAATAGGAATAGAACTATATGATTAGGAAATAATTTATAAAAAATTGATAACAATACATATGTACTTGTTACTTTATGCTAACTATAAATAAAGTAACTTAACATGTATATAGAATATAAAATACTGAAAGATTTGTAGATTAATTAACCGATTTTACTTGAAATCATTATGATTACCAAACAAAAATTTAGTAACAATAAGCCAAAAGAAAAGAGATAAATGAGAAAGTAAACGAGGATTGGAACAAAACATTGGAATAAAAAATGGAATTCTTTACGAAATTAAATAAAATGAAATGGAAGATTTAATTTCCGGATTGCTTTATATATATTCTATCCCAGAATCAGTTAATCTTTAAACATCCATTCAAGAAAAGCATAAATATTTTAAACATTGAATTTAAACATTCAAGAAAGTATAAATGCATAAACAATTCATAGGATTATCATTATCATAAAAAATGTTGATTAATTATTTCCTCTGGCATGATTAATTCCACTATTATGCATTAATACATTCTAATAATATGTCATATGATAACATTTTATAATGATTATGGTTGGACATGCAATGATGATGAAATGAACGAATGCGACTGGTTAAAGTGTTAAAAAAAAATTTCGATTGCATATAACATTTGTATTTCATCGTTAGTTAGATAATTATAGATTAAAATATTGTTAAAATAGATATAGAGAGGAAACGAGAAAAGAAGGAAGAAGAAATCAATGGAATATAGTTTACAATTTTTCCATGCATTTTCTTTTTTTTTAAATTATTGAAAAGAATTTGAATACTAGATTTTATTGGCAATTTATTTCAACTAGTTTTAATTTGCAGTTAAAAAAATAGCATTATTCATCATTGTTTAATTTAATCGTATGACTTTCTTTTTCGTTTTTTTTTTTTTTTTTTTTTTTTTTTTTTTTTTTTTTTTAAATTAAACGATAAAAATTTTTGTTCCTTCGCTTATTTCAATCGAAAACGTGACGTTTTTGGAAAAGATAATTTACTTTTGTTAGAGGTTTCTTTCGTTTTTTTTTTTCTCCTTTGAGCACTTTAGTCGCTATCAGTTACTTGAAAAGAGTGAAAAAATTCGAAAATACTTTTGCTTGTAGGGAAATATTAAATGGAAAAGGCGGTGGTGATATTGGCTTGTACTTAAAATAGTTATTTTGACCAATTTAAACAATCCGAAACTTATTTTTTTGCCAGAATTTAAAGAAACATTAAGTACTGATCCTTTTTTCTTTTTAAAAATGTCAAAATTTGAATTCACTGTTGGTTAATTGTATTATATGATTTTTTAAAAATTAGATCATGTGAATCATGAGATGATGACAAATGATAGTAAATATCCTATTTTCCGGATTATTGTATTTCTTTTAGATTTTATTCAGCATTTTTTTTTTAAAAGTTTTACTATAAATTATTAATTTATATTCTTAAATTCAAGCAAAAAGAAATTTTAGATTGTTTAAGCTTCCCATTTAAAATAATTTACAAAAATATACAAAAGAACAGAAGAATCTGTATCAAAACAGTCGAAATCGATCCGATCATGATAAAGCATGATATAAAAAATCAATTAATTTAAGGAAAAAAAAATGGTGACTATTACCATTTCTTGTATTATTGGGTAGAAGTTTTATTAACTATTACTAATTATTGCTTAATGAATAAACAAATATTGATGAGCGAATTAACAAAATGTTTTATCATATCAAAAAAGATAATGATCTTCTAAAACAGTTTAACCGAAATTTGAGAAAGAATAGCTGGGATAAACTAATAATTTATTTTCTTCATTCAAGTTTTATTTATTGTTATCAGAACGATAATGTTAGATATGGTAAACTGTACAGTATAATGTGATGTATTATCGTAGTACGTATGGTTGGTATAATATATCGTACGGTGTGATTATAATTTGTACAATTTAAATAAAATAATGGTGTAATTGTAATTTAAGAAAAAATAGTTGAGATAAACTAATAATTTCTTTTCTTAAATGCAACTTTTATTTCTTGCCATCAAAGTGATGTTGTTAGATACAGTAAATGTGCAATGTGATATAATGTATTATCTTTGTATATATAATTGGTATAATAAACCATATCCACGGTATGATTATAAATTGTACAATTTAAAATATAAAAAATAATTGATAGTGTTTGAATTAATTAATTATAATCTGTATTAATTATATAATTATTTTTATTTCAAATGTGTCTAGTGTCTGTTTTTAATAAATAATGGAATTAATGATTATTTATATTATGTATATATGTACACTAAATATTTTCTTATTTCTCCTTTCCTTCTTAAAAGGTTTTTTAAAGTCGAAGATATTTCGGATATTTTATCCATTTATATCTTCCTAAATAATATAATTATTATCATTACTTCACTAAAAAGGTTCGAATTGGAATTCTCAAGTTATTCTAGTTATTTTAAAGCAAGCAACCAAGAATATTATTTATTTAGGTATATGCAATATATTAAATTAAACTTATTAAGTCATGTTTTTCTGGTTTGCAAGAGTTTTTCCCAGTTTTATTTTGTAATTTTTTTTTTAAAATAAAAAATTTGGGTTATAAAAGCGAGGAAAAAAAGAATTTACAAGAATAAGAAAAAGGAGGGAAAAAGAGAGAGAGAGAGAGAAAGAAAAAGTGAAAGAGAAGGAATTTGTAAAGAAAAAAATTTTTCCATATCTGCTTTTTTTTTAAAAAAAAAAAAAAAAATATCAAGCAGATAGTTGAAATTACATTTGTAATATTAGCATTTTTGTACATACACTTTGAAAGCATCGTAAACGAGATGGAAAAAAAAAAAAGGAAAAACTTTTTCGGCTTTTACCTTAATAACATTCCATAGATGGATGATGAATCATTATTGTCCCGCTTTTATCAATTCTCCGCGGTAATATATACCATTATTATTTGATCCTCATAATATCTTCTGTCAATATATAACCTTTTTCTTTTTTTTTCTCCTACATTTATCCTCAATTTGCATTATAAATATTTGTAGCCATTTCATATTTTTTCATCTGAAAAAGAAAGAAAAGAAATAGCAAATGACGATTGATTTGAATATATTGGCTTGTATCTTTAAAAGGAAAAAGAAAAAAGCGAAGGAAAAAAGGAGTATACATTATCATGTAAATATAAAATAACACAGATATGATAGAAAAAATTATAAGAAACGTAATTTCTGGATCTGGTTTCTAGAATGATAATTGTTGTATATATATATGCTTCTAAAGCAAAAGTATAAATCTTTTTCGGAAAGAAAGAATTGGATTGTAAACTGAAAAAAAAAAAAAAATGAGGTGATAATACATGAAGTTGTTGAGGAGTTAAATTTTAGTTTTAATAATAACTAGTTAAACGGTAATTAGTTGCTTAAATATGTGTTAACAAATTATTTTAAAATTCATTTCAAACTATTTTTATTTATGTAGTAGGATGTTACATTCTTATTATCATACTGAAAATGATAATTAATTGAGTTTTTTTTTTTTTTTTTTTTTTTTTTTTGTAATTACAGGAAATGATGGATAATATAGAAGGATCAGGAAGTAGCAATAGTATGATAGAATGGTCTGATGATGAGGATTTAGGCGGTGAAGGTTCAGGTAATCAAAATGAAGGATCCGGTGATACGGAAGAAGATCAGGAACATGCTATAGCACCAATTATTACATATGCTGAAGATGGCCGGCATACGGAATTAATCGATCGAATTACTACTATTACTAGTACTACTTATCAAGGTTATATATTTTGCTTTATCAATTGCTTCATCAATAGTTCTAATATTCATTTTTGAAATTAAATCAGAGCTTAGTAAGTTTCAGTGATACTTTCCCTTATGCTACCAACATTAATTAATTAGATTAACTAATCAAATTTGCGAATCAAAACATTAAAACAAATTTTCGAATATAAAGTGATTATTTCTCAGCAGAAAAAAAAGATATAAGATATATAATTGAAATTTCACGTTAAGTTTTATACGGGAGAATAAGTTTATGATTTATTTTTCTACAAATATTAATTATAACACTATTTAATTTGCACTGCAACAAAAAATAATACTAATTATATGATAACTGTTAAATATAACCTTACTTCGCATATGCAATAGTATAAAATAACTTTAATTAGGTAATAAAAAATTAATTAAGTGATAATTATTAATTACATTACAATTAATTATGAATATTAATTATGTGATAATTGTCAAATACGATATTATATATTTCTAATGTAAATTTTGCACAGATCAGACGTTAGTAATACAAATTGCATTATTTGTAATTTATTCTTTTTTTCTTCCATTATATATTTTTTTCCCGATTGCTACAAAATTATCATTCAAACAACGATGATCGTACCTGCTGATATGATATCAATGATAGTAATAGAATGAATAATATAATTGTATTTCTGATTATTCAATCTTCCACTCACATGCAATTTAAAAAAAGCAAATTTTTTTTCCGTTGCTTTTTGTTACATTTTCTTTCCTTTCTCCTACAAAACAGTTTACTTTGGATAATATTAAAAGAAAAAAAAATTTTTTCTTTAATTTTTGAAGAAATTTTTTTAATCATATCACAATATAATTTTATTTAATATCTTACTTAACTTATCATACACCAATTTTACTTCATCAATAATGTTGATACTTATTATTAAATTATTAATTACGAATATAAGAATTTGATTTCATAAAGAAATTTTACAATTTTTGCATTCTAGATGCAACATTATTGATGCATAAAAAGCTCATAATTCATTTGAAAATAAATTTTGCAGAACCATCGTCGGAAACTAAATTACCAACCAGACCGCCTGTTATAGCTAAACCGCCAGAAGTTGGATCAACCGATCGTTCAACATTATCTGTGCTAACTGCTTTTATTATTATTATTTGGGTATCATTACTACTTCATTAAGGATACCTACCTATAAAATAACTGATAAAATCTTGGCAGTAAACAATGAAATATTTTTAAGGAATTTTTTGAAAAAGTTATTCTATCATAGCAAATTCGACTATTTATCCATTTTCAAATATTATCTGATAAATTTCAAGAAAAAAGCAAACTTGAATTATTGGAATTAAAAATTTATAAATGGGCAAAAAAATTATCGTTTAATCATTTGCATTTGACTAAATTGGATAGCAAAAATTTTCTTTTTCATGTTTTTCCTCAAAAAATAGGCAAATATATTCATTTATACAAATGGTGCTTATTTTTTTTACCTTTTATTTAAATTTAAAACTTCATAATTTTGAATATATTAATGATAATCATTGCATAACACATTCATTACATATACATGCTATGAAAAATATGCAAAAAATGAAATTACTTGTGAATTTTGAATTTTAATCGTTGTCATTGTCAATTTTTTTTCCTTTTTTCTATTTTTTCGTGTAGTTTCCATTCACTGTCCTCTCGTTTATATATTTATTCCCTTGTTTGTTTGTTTATTTATTTGTTTTTATGTTTGTATGTGTTTCCTATTATTCCTATTTCAATTAACTTTCCTTTTTTCTTTTATTTTGTCATTTGATTCATTTATTATTAAATCTAACTCTTATCACTACCATCCTTCTTCCTTCATTTATATCTTAAAGACAAATTTAACCATAAATTAGTGGAAAAACTTTTTACGAATTTATGCGACCACTATTTATTAAGATACTATTTCATAACACTTAAATGTTCTTATAAAATGCTGCCACGAATCTTTCCGTATGTTTTGACGTATCCAACTTTTTAATTGGAAGGGTAATCTTATGAGATATATCATTTCAAAAATTATAACAATGTCTACTTTCCACCACTTACTAAATTAAATTTTATAAATTTTCAAAAATTTGTGTTTAAGAAAAATTTCAATTTTTATCACATTATAATATTCCAGTGACAATTTATTGGAAATAATTCTAAATTAAATTTCTCAAATTTTGTTTTTCTTTCTCCTTTTCGTTTTATATCTTAAGGATTGAAAAAATGGAAAAAAAATTTTGAAATGAAGATTGTTAAATTTTTGAGTACAATTTTGATTTTAAATTTATGAAAAAATAATAAATTAAAGATTAATTATACTCTTCATATCCACTTGTTGAAATGCGTGAGTGTCACTAATACCACTGCCGCTTTTGATGTTTAGCTTACAAATTATCAATTCTTTCATTTGCATATGCTATTTGTTGTTCTGCTTTTTGTTGAATGATAAAATATTTCTCTGTTCATAGATTTAACGATTCCACTTTTTTCTGCGGCAAAAAATTTTTTAAAAAAAGAAAAGTTTACTTTGCTCAGTTAATCTTTTTATTATATGTAAACAATATTTCGTATTTGTTGTTTTTCAAAATATATCAAACGAAAAAATTTTTCCAATTATTTTTTTATTTCACTTATGTAATTTACTTTTTACGAGTTGCGCTTTAGTACTGAAGAAGTAAAAATGAAAGCGAAGGAGAGGAAAGAGAAAAAGAAAATTTTTTTTTTATTAAATGCACAAATTCAGTTCATATCCTTAGTTTTTCTTTCTTTTTTTTAAAATGAAAAGTTGATTTGATTTTTTATTTTCGTATTTTGATTATTGGAATTTTATTTAGGAAAAAAGGAAATAAACTGTTTTCTCAAAATATTCATATGTTTTGCATATTATTGTCAGTTTTAATTATGTATAGATATCACTATACTTATGAAATTAATTATTGCAGAAAGAGAAGGCGAAAAATGATTCATAATTGTTTGATGATAATAGTTTCACTGATAATATTTGTTGCATACAAAAGTGAAGTGATCGAAAAAAAGAAAGGACCGATTAAAATTTGAAAATGAAAATAAAATAATATAAATTAATATAAATTTTATAAGAAGCTAATATTTCTATTTTAGAAAAATTTTGTAAAAATCCAATTTGAAAATGATGTACAACTATGTTTAACAAATAATGTATAAAAAGATAATTGAAATAATAATGGCTATTTCAATAATTAAAATAATAATAGCTATTTCAAATCACCTATTTCTATCAATTTGTCATCAGTTAATTTTTTTATAAAAAAAAAAAAAAAAAATGAAAACAAAAAGCAAATAATTATTATGAAGTAATGCATGCATGAAGCAGATTTTCCTTCTGTTTCCACTTTTTTTTGCCACATTGAATAAGATGTCTTTCTGAAAGTAACTTTTAAAAATTTCACGAGTGACACTGAGTGAGTCACATCCAGATGAGTGAATCATTTAGCAAACATTGCTGTTTGTCTGTATTGACTTTTTTTTAATTTTTTAAATTATTGCATGATTAACAAAAGCTGCTTAGTTTGTTTTAACAGATAAGCGATTATTTTTATTTTTTTTCTGTTTCAATTTTTTTCATTTCAAAAAAAAGTTAAAAAGGACAAACAATGCTATTATATTTTTTATTTTCCTCCCACTCTTTTTGTTCCATTCTTTTCTTCTTTCTTTCTTTCTCTCTATCTTTTTTTTTTTTTGTTTGGAAAATTTGAAAGAATAAAATATTTAAATTAGTAGAATTCTTTGTTTAAATAGTAAAAGAAGCTCCTCTTTCTAAAAAAAAGAAGCAAAAAGAAATTTTAAAATTTTTTTTGCATGCTATAAAGATATTGATAATAATAAGAGAGAAAAGCATTCCAAGTTTTCGCAACGAGCGCAAATGTCATATCATAAATCGATATGACATCAAATATTATTAATAATTATCTTATCAGCATGAAATAATTATCAATGCAGTAAATGATACCATATAAATATTTTCCGCACTATTATTTTCTTTCAGGATTTTTCTTGAAATTTCTCCCAAATGAAATTTCTCCCTCTTTGGGTAGTCAGATCTCTGTGAGAAATTGCATGTTATTTGGTATAATTTTGTCTTTCTTTAAATCTTTTCTAAATTAAAGTTAATAATTCCAACATTTTTGCTGATTAAAATCTTTATTACCTAAAGTTTTAAGAAAACGAATGTTAATTTATTAATATTAATTGCGCTAATCTTCACTGAAATTCAAATCCATTATTCTAAAATATTTTGAAATAACTACTCAATAAAATTTTTTTAAATTAATATGTTATTAGTGAACTTATAATCTATGGAAATTTATTTAGAAATGAATTTACCTTAAATATGATTTGACTCAATTTTTAAATTATTTTTATATTTTTCTATTTTTATGAAAAATATAGTTGTAATGAAATGGTATATCTATCACTTTTATGAATATTTTTTTCATTTCAGAATTTGGTATACAATAACATAATTGATAATAAAATAATTAAATCGCTATGCAATCGTTTTTTCTGAGCAAACATCACTTGCATTGTGCAATGCTAATTCATCTGGCATTATTGAAAGAAGTATTGCATACTTCATAGTAAGATTAGATTTTTAAGATTAGCCATTCTTTATGTTTTCTTTTTTTTTTTTTAAATAAATATTGAAATATTTAGTATGCATTGAATTGTTAAAGTTCATTTTTCATAAGTAATTCATATGATTTTTTAAAAGTTTTATCTTTTTATTACTTTCAATAATGCACTGTTAATTGATTTGACATCATTGACTATTCTTAATCATTTGCATTCAATATAATCGAATTGGATTCATCTCTTCATTTAATTCACTGCATGTCCAATTTTAAAGCATTTGATTCTTTAATTACAATTTCATAAAATTCATTCCTCCTAGTAAAAATTATAAATTTACACTTTTTTATGCAATATTTTCATGTTTATATGTCAATAATATGCATATACGTATTGTTTTTATACATTATAGTCAAAATAAATAAATAAACGCCTAAATTATATTTAATACATTGGTATGCTTTTTTTTAATTTATTCGTATACCGCCTACCATTTGATTTGTTTGCATATTATTTTTATTACTTCTATTTTTGTTGATGTTAAATTTGATAATAATATTATGATATTCTTCGTAATGAAGAAGATATTTTATTCATTTATAATTGCTTTGCCACTTATTGCACAATAATGGAAGAAGAAAAAAAAAAGACTTTTCACGTCAAGAAACGAGCACGTAGCGTTGATCATTCAATAAATATTGTTTTGCTGATGAATGTATTATTTTTGATTAAATGCAACTTGCTAAATTTAGCCAAATAATACATGATACTAATAATTAAAAAATAACAATATGCAAATAAATGATACATGCAAATGATGAGATAAAAGAAGAAAGAAATGAAATTAACTTAATTGATCAAATAAATAAGTTTAATTGAATTATTTATGTAATCTCTGATAGAAAAAGAAAACAAATGTATAACAAAACTAATGAAGTAATTAACATAGAAATTAAATTAAAATTAAATAATAAAAATGAAAAAAAAGTTCTTTCTGAAAGTCATTTTTAAAATGTTTAATCTAACGGAACAATTTGGTTTTCTTTAATTACACTCATGGGAATGTTAATTAATCATCGATATGCTTTTAAATATTAACAATTTTCCGATGAGTTTGTTTCATTTAATTGTTGTTTTTTTTTTTTTTTTCTTTTCTTTTTTCCCATACGTAATACTAAATGAAAAAAAAAAGACAAACTCTTTCCTCTTTGAAACAAAGAAAAATTAGTTTAATATTACAAAAAAAAAAAAATAGAGAAAATTCAAATTTTTTATTTTCTTTTTTGTTAGAAGAAAAACTAATAGAAGTATATGACATATTTTTAATTATTTCAAAATGTTTCAAAGCATTAGATTAGAAAAAATTCTGTATTAAAATTTTCTTTATTAAACTGATTCAGTGTTAAAATTCTGTACTAAAGTTTGATTTTATTTCATAATTTCATTAGCAGAGTAAAATTTTTGTACACATTTTAAATTGCTCATTTAAAAAGAGTTAAATAACAGATGTATTTCCTGAAATGATCAGTTAATTGTAATGACTAGCTCATCGAATATCAACATGTTTGTAGAAATAGACTTTAAATGGAAGAATAACATTCTATTTTATAGCTTTACAAAATTATTCATAAATACAAAATTTAGTTAAATTTCAGAATTTAGTCAAAAACAATTCTCCGAATATTATAAATCTGAAGTTTTACAATTGACCGAAAACTAATGACACTTCATAAATCATTGACATTTGCTTATTTATGATTATAAATTGCTACTTTAATTAGCAGATACCTTTCAGCATATTGCCTTAATTTTCATTCTGATATGAATTGACATTTCTTACAAGAAATACAAAATGATAATTAATTGTGTTATCAAATAATAATCAACTAAAATTCCACGGATACAAGCCATTCACATCCACTTTCGAAGAAACTATTTTAAATAGACTGCAAAATTTACATTTTGCTTTATTTGCAGCAAACGATGTGCTGTTGACAAATGCAACCACAATGACACTAGCATTATCACATGCGTGCTTGTTTTGTCATCGTTACTTATTACTCCTCAAGTTAAGTCCATTTATTATTTTTAACTATATCTCTCCCATTGCTATGCTATTATATCGATTATTTAAAAAACAAAAAGAAAGCAAAACAGATAATTAAGAATTGACAATTTGCTGAATGAGCTGCGATTTCTTATCAGGAATTTTAATCTCTTTCACTGGTCGAATAGCTAATAGCACTTAAAATCTACAATGGTATTTTTCTCAATAATTATAAATATATTCCATGTAATTCAGTTCGGACGTGTGAGTTTAAATATCCCATTTAATTAATTTCAAATTCCAATTAATTCAATCTAGGCATGTAAGTGTAAATATATTCCTTTAATTCATTTCAAACGTGTAGGTGTAAACATATTCCTACTAATCTATTTCAAATGTTGGAGAGTAAACATGTTCCGATTAATTCGTTTCAAACGTGCAAGTGTAAATATATTCCGACCAATTCAGTTCAGAGTATGAGCACAATAATACAAAACATAAAAGTACCATAGGACATTCAAACAAATGATATATGCTATCGAAAAGTGCTGCTATATTTGAGACATATTCATGCAACGATAGTATTTGGTTATATATACGAGAGATGATACGGTTGGTTGGTGGTGTCTTGTGGCTAGGAAACGGTCTCTATTGTAGGAGTCATAGGTCGGGGCCCTGACTACTGTGGTATTTTCGGTTAATTAGCCATTCGTGAAATTAGCTTCACTGAATGTAATGTAAAATTTCTTGATGTGTGAATTTATGGTAGGGATTTGAGAAGAATTGAATTTTTGCAAATCTGATTCATGGATTGATGAAATTAATTTTTGAATCTAATTCATGGATTAATCAAATAAAGCATTCTCACGATATTTATAATGCATATGAATAACCCATAAACGTCTGGATCTGACCAATATTTTGTTTTTGTGATTTGATTTTAAGGTTATTTTACTGTTTCTAGTTTTTTTGATGGAGTTCTAAATTTTCTATCATTATCTTGGATACTTTGTTTCAAGTTTTAAGTATATATGATATTTTGGTAAGATATTTAGGTAGTCTTAGATTTTTACTGTTTTGTAATTATTAAATCAACTTTGAGCAGAAAAAAAAGCATTCAAATCCTGAAACATATTTTTCACCTAATTCTTTAATAAAATAATTTTTACCTAGAGAGTTCAGGTCAGGTCACAGATTTTTTTTTTTTTATAGTTCTTTATTTCTAACAATTTGTTTTTGTAGAATAGGTATTAAATTTTTAACTTAAATTTTGTGCTCTCAAACAGTCCTAATAAATAAGGAACCTGAATGAGTCTTATTAGATGTTGAGTGTCTATGTGGTAATATGTCACGTATTTATATATTTTCGTGACACTTTTATTTCACATCAGTAAATTTAAAATTGTAATCCATAGTCCTTAAAAACGGATGGAAATATGTTTATTGGGCTCTGGTGTATTTCATATCCACACATTATTTTTAGCTTGCCATGTTAGAAATCTATTTGGAACCATCCCAGAGTACGATTTATGGACTGGCTAAAAAGTATTCAATATTATTAAGCCTTACAAAATCCATTTGAATTTCATGTTTGTTATGTCGTAAATTTATATGAGGTTACAAATTTTTGAACTTGTTTTTCTCATAACTGATGTTTTAGAGATTGTGTGGAGATGTCAACGCCTGCATCCATTAAAGCGATGGAGATTGCACGAGAAAAGGCTGCACGACGTCATAGGCAAGGCGATACATCTGGACTGGCACCACTTACGCAACCGTGGTCACCCCGATCTTACTACTATGTGAGTAAGCTGCTAAAATTTCGTTATTTGGATTGGAACTGTGTACTTTTTGTTCAAATATGTGTACTTGTTGTATTGAATTCTACTAAGAGTATGGTTTCTTAGGGGTATTTCTAAGGACCATCGACAAAAAACTTATTAATCTTTCTATATGTTACTGTAAATTATTGTTTCAGGGAGTTTATCGCGGAAAGAATATCGATTTTACCACGGATAAAGCAGGTGGCCGACAGTATACTAGTTTTGAGGGTGGAAGGAAAGAAATAGAGCCACGTTCACCGCCAAAACCGCTTACTCCACCTCCTGTAGGTTCTCAATGTGTTTTTTATTTAAGAATATTGTAAAAACCTCTTCTCATTGTGGAAGTAAGCTTGAGTAAGTTTTTGCTTAGGTTATGTTCTGCTTATTATTGTTGGAAAAGCGCAGAAACAGTACCAATATCTCAAGTGATCAACTGATTCCAATTAACCAAAATATATTTCAATTCCACGACTATTTCAAATTTCCTAAATTTCACAATTTTAGGTTGAAGATGTCCCAATCGATGTGGATACCGATGATTACAAAGTAGATGCCGATGAAGTCATTTGTTTTAGCGGTCGTCAACATTTCCTCTCAAATTTATTTCCCGTCGGTTTTATATAGCTGTTTTCTTTTAATGCATTAACTACTTTTGTAGTATAATTCATGAATTTCACTATTTTATATCATTCGTACCAATTATATTAAGCTGAATAGGCGTTTTGTCGACTATGATATTAAGCATCAATTTTGCTTTTGATTACGTTCTTATTATATCTCATGAATTTCATTCGAAAAATCAAAAAGCAAAGCATTCATACCCTATATCCTAGGTTTCTATTCTGGCACTAATCAGGATATTCGAAGGAAGTCATTTTTGTATTGTAATGAAAAGTATCACTCTTAATTTTGATAATTCCCACAACAGGTTGCGCTAACTGTGGATGGACATGAGTATCCGAGCGTGGAACATTATTATCAAGCTTGTAAATTGTATACATTAGGTGGTGCACGTTTTGCTGCACAACTTCGTAATATATCTAATGCTGGTTTGATTAAAGTTCACACAAAAAAATTGTTGCGTTCAGCGAACGTTTCAATAGAGAAGGTATAATTAATAGTGCTTTTGCACTGATTTTCTATTTCATTAAATTTTATCTGTATAAAACACATCTGGTGAATGTTTAAATCTGGAATTTTAATAAGGTTTGCTTTTGTTTTTAATAAAGTCTCAGAATCGTAGCTTCAGGTTAGTCAGCGAATATTTGAAAACTCAAAAATCTTTTTCAAAATTTTCATTTCATTTCACTCGCAAACAATTCAATCCGGTTTTTTTTTTTTTTTTTTTTCTAAAAGGGATTTTTCAGGTGGAAGAATGGAAGCGTACTCAGGGTCCAGTGCTGCTACATCATGCAATAGTACACAAATTTGTACAAAATCCTCAACTTCGCACGAAACTTCTGGAAACAGGTAATGCATTGCTTGCACATACGTACGAACGGGATAATATCTTTGCTACGGGTTGCGACAAGGAGAAGATGTTAGAATGGGCGAAAAATCATAATGGACAAATAATTAAGGTATTTTTGTTTTTTTCTTCTTATTTACGAGTATATACTTAGGTGAATACTTGTGTTTAGTGTTTAGGTCGATATTTGCATTTACCGGGATGATGTTTATTGGCTTCTTATAATTTTATGCTTCCCTATCATCTGTATTTGCCAATATTTGCGTGATACAAGCTACATGTTTCATCCTTTTCCATTCAGCAAGTCGTTCTTCTGTATTTATTAAATATTCGTTCCCCGTTACTTCTTCATTACTGGTTACTACTACTTTTCTTTATGTTTATTCGCAATACGTTGTGTAGTACGTTTCAGAACATTGGAAATTTCTCTGTTACTGTCCACAACAACGGTAAGTATTGAACGGATGAGCCGTCGCAGAATAAAAGGTTGATCCGTACAACTTCAAGTTAGCAAAAGTAGAAGAAATCATCTTCGCGCTTTTGCAGATTCCGACCAAAATAGATAATGGAACATTGGTGTACATTCCACTAGTAGGAGAAGGCAAAAATGTTCTTGGTTTTATCAACATGAAGGTTTTTTTTTTTTTTTTTTTTCGTTTTTTAAGTATCTAGAGGAACGATAAAGCATTTCATTTCAATAACTGGATAATTCTCATTTTCTTCTTTAACAAAAAAAGATTTTAAATGATTTTTTTTTTCCGAAATATGAAGTGTACCTTGAGGCATTCGATTTCAAATGTATTTTATTGCGATAAATGATACGATGAGAATGGAAATGTAACCTTATATAATTCTGTAACTGTGACAACTTTGTATTCAGCAGCACTTATGAGTTCTACTGTTTATCAGGCTTTATCGATTGACAAGTTCCAGGTTCGTCAACAGCTCCTACAGTTTAAAGCAACACAAGCAACACAACCACCTTTAACAGATCCGATCATGATGGTGGCCATGCAAACACTGAAACTGGATAGTCCAACAAAAGCGGAGAGTATGACAAACTGAGGTATACATCAGAAAGCCAACATGATCTCGAAGTTATCGTCTATGAAAGCCATTCCAGAAAATTATTGAAGCCATAGAATGTTTTAACCTTGCTGTTCCATTTTTGATTTTGAAAGTCATACAGATTTGCAGTAATTTTCAAGGAGTAGCTTTCATTTATATTTCTAGATTTGACACCTTTTGAAACATGTGAGTGTTGGCATCCTCGTTTATTATAGTTTCTCGTTTCTTCCCTCTTCCTCTTTTTACTTCTTTCCATCTTTCATATATTTTTTCTGCTTGCATCAGAAAACTTTGCATACTTTGCTTTTATCAGCTGACTAGGCAATACGTCAAGTTTCTTACAAAAAAAAGATTATTGTGGCATTTGCTACAGTGCAATACTAACTGCGTGGTTTTATGTTTTTTTTTTATAAGTAAAAGATTTCCCGGAAAATCTTTCAGTTTTGTTCCCTTTCTCTGCTGTTCTTGTTATTCGGGATGAATAATCACGAAATTTTCTTCACAGTGACGTATGTAGATTTTCAGTTTTCCAATATTTCGTTCACCTTTTTTGATAGGCTTTTTATATTAAATTCACGACAAAATATGCAATTTTTCTTTTATGAATGACTTCATTGACCGGAAATCTTGGGCATCTTTGATCTTTATGCTTTGATTTCTATGTAATTGGTTTTTTATGGGAATTCCTCCCGGTTAGCTGACTTTGCTACAGCGTCCTCTTTGCACCTAAATCCGTGTGCCAACGTTTTTTTTTTTTTTTTTTTTTTCAAATTTTATATCATTCTATCCCAAATCCGAAACATTTCCAACGATAGTTTTTAGGAATATGAAAAGATGAGGTAAGAAAGAGTCGCCGTTTTACTCTGTTGCAATGTCTTGTTTAGTTTTAAATGCTGTAAGAGGAAATGTAGGGTTAAAAGTTGGTGCCGAGTGCTTCTTTTTTTTTCGTTAAATTTGAAGTTATAAAATATTTCGTCAAATTGTCCGACACAAACGTAAATCTATCTATCTATCTATATATATATATATATATATATATATATATATATACGTCGTTGATATAGTGCAGTAATGAGAGATTGATTCTTTCTCTAGTATGGAGAATTACGATACATAAGGACCATCAAAAATTATTTTTCCCGCTAAATGATAGGTAGACAAAGTCATTGTGATCCTTAAAAATGTAAGCAACAAACTCTGTTTTGAAATGAGCAAGGCTGAATGCATAAGGTCTAAATCTTTCGCTACTGGATAGTTAAAAATTCAAAAAACCGCGTAATCAAGAATTTTCCAGTTCTCGAGATTCTCGGCAAATTACCACTACGTGATAAACCTAAGACGGAAGAATTAAAAGTCAGGAGATGATTCCACGCTCTAACGGCTGATGCGTAACACCATGAAAACTCGTGTCATCAGATGCCGAAATTGCGATTACTAGCTGGGGTCTGAACTTTGGGCTAATAAAGGCAGCCTGGCGGGGTCACAAATCTGTTGACCATCAGTGGAATTTAGCTGTCTTATTAGATGAATGGAGTGGAATAATCCCAGAAGTCATGTGAACTAGGTAGTCGGTGAAATATTGAACGTAAACTACATTATACTGCACTAAAATCATCAGTGGTTGCTAGCAGGGTCATATCACGATTTATTTTCCAATATTCTAGATTACAGGAGCTACATGACTGTCTTGAAAATATCTTTTCCGAATCTAACATAGATTTCCGATGGTAGTCACTAATAATATGAAATGAAATTCAAATGTCAAGCGTAAAAGCACCCTCTTCAGCCCGGTAAATAGCCTCCTCCACATCAACATAGTCCAACGTCGCCCTCAAATATGTCGTATCTTTTCCTCTTTTATGTGCTTCTTCTATTTGTTTGCGTAAAGCGTACCTTTTCAGAGTTGGAACTACTTCGTATTTAGGAGCATTCAGAAATCCACCATAATCCTTTCTAAAGAAGCATTTATTAACAAAGTAGGTGTACTGCAATCAGTGGAAATATTATGCATTTGAATAAATGAAAGACATAAAAAGAATTGACATAAAGAAGAGAAGAAAAAAATGCATTCGTAAATATTTCTCATTACATCATTAATTGCATTAATTCAGTTTTTCGCTTACTGCAACTGCAAGTGAAAACATTTCTGATCGATAAATCCTTACCTGGAATACCAGAAGTAGAAACATACTACCGCAAAACTGCTCAAAAACGACGCTGTTACTTTTCGCTTATGAGCTGCAGAATCGCAAACTTCCAGATAGGACTGTGAGGCTACTACTGTCACCTCATCTAGTGGTTTTCGCTTATCAATTCCAAAATAAGCCTTGCTCTCACTGAATTTCAAGTTTTCCGTCTGCCTCGAAATTTCTGAAACATAATAAAACTATCCAAGTTTCTTAATACTCTAGAGAAAGGCCACATCATTTCTTTAATTGGATTTTCGCCATTCGAAATTATTTGATGCAATATCATACAGAATTCGATATAAACATTAATCGATAATTAATTCTTCAGAAGCATTATCTCAATTATCGAATATACATATTTCATAACAACTTTTATTACAGTGATTTTTAGTTTATTTACATTCTCAACAGTAATTAACACCTCGAATATAGGCTTGTACTGATTTTTACAAAAACAATTCATTGTACGAACTAATAGTTTTTCTCAGATCCATCATCTACCACTGGTAAATTATTATCAATATTTGAATTTTTCATTTTCTCTCGTAAAAAAAGCAATAAAAAAAGTCATGTACAAAGAAGTTACAAAAGTATTACTGGTAGGGACGAATGCTGTTTGTGGTTGTTTTTGGATAGTAGTAGTAGATGGACCATTGATAATCGGTGGTTTCGTATTTTTTCGCCTGAAATTCTCTTTGAAATGGCAATGTTGATCAGATATAATTCATCAAATGATACCATAATACACATCACGTACCCTAAATTTGTCCATGTTCCAGAAGTTGTATAATCTAACATAATTCCAAAGATCCAATATTTATATTTTAACCATAAGCAATCATACATTGATTCTAATTTCTGAGCAAAAAGAAAAAATTACTACTAACCTCAAAACTTTGTTAAGAATAGTCCAAAGGCTCCGCATATCATCACCACTATCACTTGCTCACTTGCCCTTATGTTCCGTGAACTATAAGATATAGAAACAAAAGAAAAAAAAAATGAAATTACTAATTCAAAGCAGGAATATAAGAATTCATTATTATTAAACGATCCTCGAGACTCAATAGTATACTCTAGTTTGGAAGTCAGTTGCACTCACACAGTATTCACATAAAGAAATCAAATCCTTACATGACCAATCTTTGTTTTATCTCTTTGCTTTAACATTTTATAATACAAGTCTTTCTAGTTTTGCTTAATTTGAAATCTTTAAAAAGATATGAAATATAAAATAATCCATATCGAATCACTAATCAGTGGTTTCGTATTCTTTCGTCTGAAATCCTCTTTCAAATAGCAATATTGATATATAACATTTGCTACTGTGCGCATTAGGAAATATTCCACCTCCACGTTATTTGCATATTTCATAATTATTTGTAATCATTTATTTCATCTTCACACATAATATTGTAAATCTGTGATAGGTGATTGGGTGATAACAACAACAAAGAAAAAACTTCCAATGAGCAGTACTGAAAAAAAAAAAAAGATAAACGACTTATACATATATTTTCTAAATAGGATGGTAACAGAAAATTTGGAAGTCTGAAAATCCTTTCAAAAATTAGAAACCGCCGTGGTGGAGAAATGATATCAAAAAAAACGAAAAAAAGAATAACTTGTTCGAAGCAAAACTGAATTTGAATTTATTGTACTTCAAAATGGGAAACCATACATTTATTCTCATATCTATCAGGACAACAAATCGGTCGTTTTTTTTGATAGGGAATAAAATTTGAAAAGTTATAGATTATGCATATTAAAGTTCTAGCATTCTACATTAGAAGTGTATTTAAACAGGAAGACAATAACATTTAAAAATATATTAGGTAATGTAAGTGAAACCCGTGCGCTTGCACCAATGAGCAGAAAGTTTTACATGAAATGTAGACATCTTGTAACCAAGAAGTTTCAATAACCTGCACTGATCAGCGGTTAATTTATCACCGTCTTTGCAAACAACGTAATGAGATATCAATGTCACTATACCTGAAATTTAATTTGAGTATTTCGCAACTGAACTTTTTGGATAAGGAAGGCATAATCGAGCATATCGAAGGGAAACATCATTTATTGGAAAAATAGCCATGATTGCATGCTGTACGATTAATATTAATAAAGCTATGTTTTTTTAAAAGATTCAGCAGAAAATTAATATATGACAGAAAAGCCAAGGCTTAATGATACTAAGACAAAACTTGTGATAATATTTTACCTTTCTCCAATTTAGTTGGCAAGCCAAGCTTCCTGAGCTGTGGTTCTAGAGAAAACGGAAATTGCGTTAACGGTCCCTCACATAGCTCAACAGTACTAATTGCAGTTTGACCACATCGAGCAAAATCTGACATATACAGTTCATCGAAATATCTGAAATACAACGGATATTCGAGAATTTCAAAAAGCTAAGCTACGACAATTCAGAGCAGGATTTCCTACAGGAGAATCTTTCATAAAGCAATTCACGAAAATTCTAAACGATACATAACGACCTACTAACAACTTTTAAAAAAAAAAAAAGATAACTTACTTTTTAACACTATCATGATCATCATTTGTAAACATTAACCCACATTCTCCTTTCAACAAACCACTGATCTTTAAAGAAAATTAATCTAAACATATGGACTGAATATCCCCATACATTCATGAATTGAAATTCTGTGTTCTACTTTTTCAAAAATTAAAATTGCAAGATTCCAAAATCTATTCATTCTGGGAAGGAAAATACCAACCTTGTTCAATTCGCGCGCATATTCTGTGGATGAAGTTTTGCCCAGCGCAATTGCCATAACATTATTTTTGCCATAGAAAAAATGTGAATTATTCTTATATTTTTGCCGAATCTGAAAATAACAAGAGAAGAAAATACTTCCACTTCATACATTCTACACCACGAGTAAAAATCAATTTAAAAACCAGGAGAAATTACCAAAAAATAAATCTATATACTAAATTCTTCTCCAAGCTTCTTAGCTGAATATTCTTTTTAATGTCAAAAAAGAAAAAACTCCCAGAAGTTGCCACATTTACTGTAAGCTAGAATATAATGATATTCAGAGTCAAATATTTTAAATAAAATTTCTTTCTGATTAACAAAAAGTCAGTAGAGATTACAACTAACTGACTTTAGTACAGCTAAAGTAATAAAACAAAGACATTTAAATACAATCTAGTTTACAAAAGATGATTCAAAAACACTTGTAGCTTACTTCAATAAATTTAGTAGAGCGCATGTTTTCAATTTTGAAAAGAAATAAATGGTCGTATGTATCCACACATTTTCGTATTTCATTAACCAACTTGATCTTCTTTTCCTTCGTTTTTTTCTTTACCCGAGTTAATGACACTGGAAATCACAACGTAATAATGAAAAGTTAGAAAGCAAAAAAGAAAGAAACAGTAAAGAAAAAAAAAACTACAAATCCTTTCTCCCATCTTCATCAAAAGTCACTTTTTTTTTATCCTTGTATTTTATCAAAATCTCAGCGGAATAATTGTGTAGAAAAGAAAACAAAAAAGCATGAAATCTTCCATCGAAATGTGCAAGTGCTTAAGATAAAATAAAAATTAAATAATGTTATCGCATTAAGCAGAAGTATCATCACATGATACCTAAATGATTGCTATTTGTAGTAACAAAAAAAAAAAAAAATTATAACATAAGTCAATTTTATAAGAAAATTACCATCTACTTCACGTTTTGATTTTGGCATCTTCAACGGTATAAATTTGTTACGACAGCTTCTATATTCTCCTAAAAAATAAAATACTGCTTTTTTCCTCTTAAAAACAAAAAATAAAAACGAACACAAAAATAAAAAAAGAAACAAAACTGAAAAGACTTACAGAACGCGCGCTCTGAATACAAATAAAATGCACTTTATTTTTTAATTAGTCGCTAAAAAAAACAAAAAAAAAAATGCACTATTTTCATATATATTCAATTGAAATTAAACAAACGACACACGAAAAATACAATATTTTCGCTTGATTAATGCTAAAAGAAGACCAAATAATCTTTTGCGACTGAGAAAACCCTTCCCACTTCACTAACCCTACCACTTTGACGACAAATGACGGCCACTCATATCAACTTGTATTCCACTTTTAACATTTTTATACCATAAAAAAGAATTCATGTTAAAACCTCCTCACCTACAACAGCTTTGCACCCACTTTAGGGTTCACACCCCACTGTTTCTTCAAATTGTAGAATTAATAATTCAATGAAATTCAATCCTGACTTTTATTTTCTTTTTAATCTAGCTAATTAATCGTAAAATTTTCCATATGTTTACTCAAAGCCACCAATAATACATTAGCAATAAAAACAACAGAGGAAAAAATATTTCAATATGTAGCGGTATGAATCAATAGTAATTATTTTCAATTTGAAAAAAAGAAAATTCCAATATTCAAAGAACAAGTATTTGTTAGGAAATGATAATAACTGAAGAAAAATACAGCCAATAGCTTAATGAATATATCGATTTTGTACCTATGTTCCTCTATATCCAATACTCACAAATTTATAATCTTTGGATTACTACAAATAAAATATACAGCAAAAGAAAGAAAAAGAAATCCTAAAGTGTATATAAAAATTATGGATTTTGGCAAAAAAAAGTGGATGATGGTTCAATTGCATTAAAATTGTCAAGTGCATGCACTGCATCACTATCATTTTATTCAGCATAATAATATACATAATAATATATTGATTCACACTCCATATCAGAAGCATAATTATAAATTCACGAATAAAAAGGAAAGAAAAAAAGACGAGGAAAGAGATTTCATCTAAGGTAAAGTATATTGAATGTCAGGCCTATCTGATTAACAGTTAACCTTATAAAATTGTTATGGAAATTACTGTCCGAGGATTCTCATGTCATATATGGAATGAGTGGTAAAATCCACTTTTTTCGAAGTTTCAAATTCTCCATTTCGAAGATTAAAGTTTTAAATTTTATTTAGGACTCAAACAGTTAGATTTCAGTCACCAGATTTATATCATAATACCTTACCCTTCTTCTACTTCAAAGATAGGCTTCAATTTACACTGCTGATCTTCCAGAATTCCGTATTATCGACATCATCTATGAAATTATAGAAATCTATAAAGAATATTAATTCTTTTTCCCCTCCTCTCCTTCAACCTTTATGTAATCTCTAATGCATTTATATGATGTTTAATGCAAATAGACCATTTTTGATACCCACTTCATTCATTCATTTGACATGTGAAGTTTATTAATTCAGTTTTTTTTTCTTTTTTTTACTGCTTATGTGAAGTCATAAAATGTTTCAAAGTAGAAAAAACTAATAGGCATGTGGAGGAGAATTAAGGTATCAAATATGTAAACAAAGCTATCAAATAGGTCTTCAAACACGCAGAAAGAAAAATTGCTGAATATAGCTTTCTACAACAGATATGAATTACTTAATGCCCATCTTTGTGATCGCATGAAAACAAAAAGACTACCAAAACAGTAACATGGAAAGAAAAACTACAAAACAGGTTAAACTGAATGAAAATCAGACGTCTATCATAAAAAAAATATTTGCCTTTATGTCATTTAGCACCGAAAATATATATTAAAAATAAATATAATGGATATTCAATAAATAATCAATTTCAAGTGATCATAGGAAGATGAATTGCTTAAAAATCAAATAAGAATAATGTAATAATAAGTTGGAAATAGAAATAGGATAAGACTTAAAAAAAAATTAACACCATTTTAGCAAAGAATTTTGTTTAAATGGAGCTCAAACTATATTCTACTCTTACCGAAACATCGAATTTTCTGGGAAGCATGAAGCATTATTTTTATATCTATTGTCCCCGTCTCAACCGGTATCATCTGTCATCTAATCATTTCCTGTATCCATGGGTGGTTGATAACACCCTTCAACGACAGGCGTTTAGCTGGATCTTTTTGCAGAAGCTGAAATTAAATAGGATAATCAAAACCTTTCCGAATCGGAATTTATGAAAAGGATACCTTACCTTGATCGAAGCGTATATTACGTGAACTTCATAAAACATTATTAACTATGCAATTCTAACGGTGAAATAAAACATAAATAATTTTTATTTTTGTTCTAAAGAATATTTCAGTTAAGGTGATATCTTCAGCAAACGAAGAAAAAATAAATAAAATAAAGAAAAAGTAAAGTGAGCTCTTACATTTACATAAATGGAACTAAACCTAAATTAAGGCTAAATATAAAGAATTATGATTTAAAAAATGAAATATAAACGAACTTTTGATATAAGATCCTTTGCACCATCCGGCACATGAGATGGAAAAGTGTAATTGCAATTGCGGATATTTTCATACGTATCGTTATATGACTAAAATATTTTGTGACATAAAATATGATGTGCGGAGCAAAGCTAAATTCTATACTGACCGAACTAAAAGAGTCTGCCATTAGAAAAATAAGAAAGGTAAACTGGATGAAAGAACCACGTGCTCAGGATAATTTCAAGCTGCTGATCACTTGCAGTGACGATGGTTAATCAAGCAAGAAAATTATTCTATCAAAAGAATAATTCAGGACATGAATACCTTCGCCTCAAATGCAGGTTTCCCAACTAAAAATTCATATAACATGACGCCTAAAGACCAGTTATCAACCGTGGCATCATATTGTCCGTTCGGAATCATTTCCGGTGCTATATAATCCAAAGTGCCGCAAACTGTAGTCCTTCTGAAAGGATTTAAAATACAGTGACTACTGTAATATTTATTATAATGTAGTAATCCACTGAATTATGAACATAAGAGTGTATTATCAGCGTGTAATTGTAGTCGAAAAATCCCTGATCATCAAACTTAGCAGTGAGTAATAAACAAACCTTGATGATGGTTCATGCACCGACCATCCGAAATCTGATATTTTCAAATCACCAGTTTTACTAACAAGAACATTTTCAGGCTTCAAATCTCGATGTAACACGTTCTTCTGATGACAGTACTCCATCGCAGATGCTAGTTGGTACATATATTTGGCAGCTAATTGTGGTGGAAACTTTTTCATCTAAATTGAAATTTTACATTCAGAAGAGCCGATGCAAAGTTATATGTAACTTGTTTTTAAGAAGCTATGATGTAAAGTTTTCGCTATTTAAAATATAGATAAACTGCATCCTTATGTTACCTTCTGAAGATGGCTGAAAAGATTTCCCTTCTGTGCAAACTCCAAAACTATATAAACACGATCGCTATCGTGGAAATATCCATACAAGCGTGAAATATTTGGATGTCTGAAATGATAAAATGATAATGAATTTCGATCTAGCATGAGATAAATTTTTTTCGTAGTTTTAAGTTAAAACAACAAGAACGAAATGATTAGAATTTAAATTAATCAGTGGCCTTAACCTAAACAATAAACCAAACATGCTTACCAGCTGGTACCATATAAGAATATCAACTTGAAATGTTCACCTCAAGTGATATTGGTTTTCGATTTCACGCCGCAACTGACGCTTCATATTATGTGATCTCATTTGTGATTTATATAATACTTTAAGAGCAACTAGAAATTTCGATTCAATTTCTCGTGCCAAATATACGCTGCCAAATTTGCCTCGACCTAACGGACGGCCAATTTCGAAGTCATTCAGACACCATTCACGAGTATCTTTTTGAATGTCCGTATTAGTTTTTCTAGCATCATTATTTTTTCTTGCTGATTGTATGGAATCCATTATTGGAATTCTGCAATATCTTTACATTCAGAAAGTATCTTTACATTTAAGATCACATAAAAAAGCAACCATATTTATTTACTTGTTTTCTTTCACCTTCTCCATTACAATATAAGTAAATCACTAACCGGTAGAGCTTGCGATGAATAACCGACCATTAATGAAAAAAAAACTCCGACTCACCTACAATTCACACCCATTCTTACCGGCAGAATTTCTAATTCAAAAATTTCATTCACATCCGCATTATGAGACTTTTTTGAACGAGACGGTCAGACAAGCATGGGAGAAGTGAGATAGTATGTGAAGAGGAATTGATAGAGTGTAGAGTTCAGTTTTTTTCGTTCCGTTTTGGAGTTCGAATGATTATATTTCGAGTAAAATAATTAAATTTTTTTTTCTACTAATTAATTCTAATTCATATGAAGAAATTTTTCCATCAAATTAAATAATTCTCAATTGTTCAAAAAAATTTTCAACAATCTAACAAAATTCTGATGGTCCGGAAAAAAAAGAAAATAAGAAAAAAATAAAAAAGAAAAACCAAAGAATAAAAAAATTAAACATTGTATTAATTCATGAAATGTTCTTTTTTTCGGATATTTTTTAATATTTAATACGGCTCTACTTATTGACCAACATTTAAAAATTATCAAGACATGTGTTACAAATAACATAAATGAAAGTTATGAATGCTTATCACAAAGACAAGCATCCAGTATGAGTGGATGATAAAAGCTAAATTTCATCGCTTATTATCATTTTATTATCAAATTGAACAATATTTTGATTTTATATCTTGCTTTATTTCATTTTTCATCAAAAATTGTTTCTTCCTTCCTCTTTTGTAATCTCCTGTATAATTTACATTCATCTCTCATATGAATTACATAGTAAGAAGTCGCTAAGGCCGAAATTTTGATCAAAATGAATAACTGTAGAAATTCATATTTACTTGCAAAAATGCTTTTTTGAAGTATGATTTTCTTTATCTAATTTTTCTAATTGCATTTGTATTATTTTTTTTTCCTTAATAATTATGTATTCGAAGAGAGAAAAAAGGGAATTTGTTAAGAATTTTTTTCATTAGTTGAAGATTGTCCAATATCATCCAATTGTGTATCATTTTTGCTATCTGTCAATGCGCGGCAATCATCAATTCGTACTTTCACTTCGGCTAACAATCGATGCAATTCATCGGTATATATCTGTAGTGCACCAGAGAAAATTCGGAAATTATTTGAAATGTATGATTTAGATTACATTAAATACACCAAAGTGCATTTTTAGAAAATGTTACTAAAAGTATGAAATTTAAATCAATGTACTGTATGAAATAATTTTGGACATAATTTTAAGCATATTAAAGTATATTATTTAAGGTTTAACAGTTTAGCAACCAAATGATATTAATATGCTATTTAAAGTACATCAATATAATTTTTTAGTATACTACTATAATACTGTTTAAAATGGACCAATATGTAACTTAAGAATCATTAAATTTAATCAATGCAAGCCACCATAGTATATCAGGATAACCTGCCTTCAATAATTTTAAATTAGAGCACAATCTTCCGAAATTAGAAACTTGTAAGATATCAAGCATACCAATCAATTACTGATATCATAATTGATATCATTAACAAAATAAATGATGTAATAAAGGTGTATCTATAGCTTTAGTAAATTGAAAATTTATGTCTTTAATGAGAAAAAAAACCCTGTCATATGATTTTTAATTTAAAAAAAAGAAAAAAAAAACATTACTCGTCCTGCTTTTGGTGTCGTATACATGTAATAGGATTTACCCATTGTTTGTGATAAAAGTGGAATAGTTTCTGTTGTTTTAACAAATGATAACCGCTGTGATTTATCTATTGAAGATGATTGCTGATTATCTGAAGGAGTGATAAATGTTAATAAATACTTTAATGTTAATAAATATTAATAAACGTTACTTCAAGTTTGCTTAATTTCTTCCTTTAGTTTACTTTTTTTTCTCCATTTTAAAGAAAAGTGATAAAATATGATATATAATATATCAACTGAATTTGTTAAAAAAACAAGCAAAAAGAAGAAATCAATCAATATTGTTGTATTTCTAATATATGAAAATAAAACTGAGATAAGCCGTAAATTTTTTTATTGCCGAAAAAAGAATTATTCATTTTTGTAAGCACTTTATCTCATTCATGAATTTATTTTTTCTTTTCATTTTCTCATAACAATTGTTATTTCTTATATCTTCATAATTTAATTACTTAATTTTTAGATCAAAAATTTATTTCACTAATTTGCATGACTATTGTCTTCAATGGTTAATTAATTGCTTAATTTGGTCGATGTATTCTGCTTTTTTTTTCAGTATAGAAAATTGTTCTTAGATATTATAGAATTATACTACAACCAAATACGAAGTAAAAATTTTCGGTGTATGAGAATTATAATTCATTTGATAGCAAAGCTGAAGCAAAATATTTATTAGCTTAATTTAATCAAATAGCACTATAAATTAAGATTGAAATATCTATTAGTTAAATTTAATAATATAATAAAGCAAAACTGATAATGAATTGTGTTCAGTTTACAACGACAAACTTGGAATTGAATTATTCCGTAATATATGTGAACTGTCGTTAACTGTCGTCATACATAATTCTTGTGATTCGTACACTTGCGGTGATACAATCACTACTTGATGACTATAAAAGTAAAGTAAGTTGCACAATATAGTTTGTACTATTGATCGAAACTATATTTATATACACATATATTTCGAACAAAAATCATCCATTCTATAATTCATTATCATTACAGTCAAAGAATGCTAGAAATTTTGTTTAAAAAATTGAATTAATTAAATTAAGTTGAATTTGTATCTTTGATATCTTTGTCGAATAGAATAATTTATAATAATATCAATCATAAAATTTTTAAAATGTCATTAAATTTAAAAAATAACTCAATATTTTCCATTTTTTTGACTTTAACAGGATGTGCATCATTTTCTATTTCAGGTAGCATTGATAAATCAGACCAGGATACACCATCGAAATATTTTTTACTTCCCATATTTATACATGCTTGAGCAATATGTTCATCAGTTTGGGTACCTTTGTTTATCTGAAATTACTGTTGTTAACATTGTTATCATTGCTATTTTTCTCAGCAGTCTTTCTAAATATTAATAATTTCGTTTCTCCAATATAATAATGATAAAAATTAGATGCTAAAAAAATTGCAATGACATGTAAATTTTCCTCTAAAATTAAAGCCGGATCATTTTTAGTTTGATAAATTTTTAGTTGCTTCCAAAAAAAAGTGAAGTACTTTACAGAATTAAAACATTCATTGCATTATTTTCGTTTATACATCAATTTTGTTGTGCATCCTTATTACATACTTTTAAAATTAGGTAGTTCAATAATAATAATAGTAATGATAATAATAATAATAATAATAATAATAATAATAATAATAATAATAATAATAATAATAATAATAATAATAATAATGATAATGATCATATTGGTAAACATAATCACAACATGCACAATCGTGATATATAATTTAAAATCATTGTGATGAATTCAGATAATTATTTAGTTTTAAAAACCTGTTAAAAAAAAAGTGATAAAGTACCATGCAGAGTGCATGACGTATATGCTCTACTAGTGCTCGGCGATCACGTTTGATTCGTGGTAATATGGTGCTTGCGAATGTATCCTTACGCTGAATTTTTGGTTGACGTCGTCGTTTACGCCACATACGCCACAGAGAAACAAAATCTATCTTGTTCTAAAATTAAGCAAAAATTAATTACTACGATTTCATTAACTTAATTTTTATTCGCTCTTTTTTTCTTATTTTAGTAGCTGAAAGTTAATTGTAACATTAAAAATTTTTAAAAGCAAAATAAAAAAAAGCGGACAACAATATAGCCCTTATTTGATATTTTCTACTATCATTCCAAAAATTGTTAAAAGGTTTTAGCAACATTACTTAAAAAAATTTCTATTTCAATGCAGCAAATATTTCATTTGTTTATTTAAAAATTCTATCAATAAAATTTTGTTCCTAAATTATAATCTGAGATATTTGTTAAGTTTATGATATGACTATGTGTGATCTAAATGTTTACGTCACAAAAATGATAAATTGGTTATTAACAGTAGTTGCATATATTCCAAGGATTACTTTGTATGATTCATGATAATACCAATTTATATCGTTTACAATTTCCCATTCAATAATAAATAACATTTCATTAAATTTGAGAGTTAATCCGGTAGTTTTCATTTGTTAAGCTCGAAAGTTAATAATTAAGATGGCAATTTACTTAACCGGAACATTAATTCTTTCAGCTGGGACACCTTTTTGTTTGTACTCCTCCAGGAGTGTCACCAACAATTCTTCAAATAACCATTCGAGTTTAATTTGAAGAACATTGATACACATACTAAATAATGCAAGTCCTATCATTATCAATCCAAATATAACAAACATATCAACCGAATTTGTTGGTGTTACATCACCTAAAAAATATTTCAAATTTAACATTTTAATAATTTATATTGAAATTTAAGTTAAATTTCTGCAAATTCCAGTTCAAAACATATTCTTTAAAAATTCGGTTTTCTACTTTTTAAAAAATATAACCTGAAATGTTTGCTTGTGGAAGTTTTTTAAGAAGTTAAAATTAATATGTAATAATGAATAAAATTTAGATAACATTAATAATACGTATACATAACTAACTCACCGTAACCGATAGTAGTAAGTGAACAGAAGAAAAAATAGAAACTTTTGAAGTAATCCCAATCTTTTTCGAATTTTAAAAAAACTGCAGCACATATGAATACCCATCCTATAGTAATACCAATCTTAAAAAAGTTTTGATGTATTCATAGAATAATAATAGAATGAATAAATGAATAATAAATTTTAATAAAAAAAAATAAATATTAAGTTAAAAAATCATGTTATGCGCAATAATTACTATTTTCATTTATGATTAGCTGGATAAAATTGACTAATAATTTCAAAAAAATGAAAGATGTAAATGGAAGGAATTTTATTAACACCAGTAATTCTGCTTGTTGAGAAAAACAATACCAAGAGTTAGAAAACTGGGTTATATAAATTACTAAATAAATGTTTCTGCTAAGTTATTGATGGTAGGTAAAATATAAGAATTTAAATATGAAAACAAAGGTTACTTGTTTTTCTTTTTTTTTTTGGAGAAAAAGTCAACATGTGACAAAAGGATGATTATTGAAGAGTTATTCGTACGTTAAAACCAAACAAATGAACAAGAGAGAAATGGATGACGGATGATCAAATAAGTGATTAAGTAATATCGAAAAAGGATATTTAAACGGATATAAGCAAACATATGAATATGTTATTTGTAAATGATGATTAAGTAGGAGTAAGTAGAAAACAGTAAAATTACTTTCAAAAAAAAAAAACTTTTCAAACTGAACAAATTAGCATACTGGTAATAATAATGGAATATTGTCATCATGAAATGAATTCCAATTTTTCTTTTTTATTGATTTGCCGCAACATATCCATGCTATATGCTCCATTAAACTGCAATTGAAAATAAGGGAAGAAGAAAGTTGCAAAATTTTATTTATGCTTTAAAATAGCTAATAATAAGTACAATGTGTTGTTATTAGTATCAATTGATAAGATTTTTAGTAGTTTGCACATACAATCTATTATCATTTATTTATATTTTAAAATGTTTTACAAACATTTATTTAAATTCTTTTTTAAATTTTCAAAACATTTATTTGAAATAATATTATTATTAGATGTGAACATTTCGTTTTTTTATTATTCATTGATAAAAGTTAAATCAATTACTAATTACAAAATTTATTATGGACTAGTAAATCAGCAATAAATAATTTTAAGCTATTCTTATATGAATATTCTTATACGTTAAAAATGAATTATTTCCGACTCAAAACTATGTATAACCCTTAAAATGTTTAATTATAACCTTAGTAGAAATGATATTTCGAAAAAAGAAACAAAAAATTATAATTTCACAGTTATTTTTTTATCATTTTACTTGCTTTTTTTGATTTAATTTCTTTATCATTTTATTCGGTTTCTTAAAACTATCTGTTATTAGCTTGTATTATTGATTATTGTGCTACGATATATTTATTTTTTATTTGATTTGGCTTACCTTCAATTTTTACATTTTAATTTTTAAAATTAGAAATGGTAATAACCTCATGAATTGAATCCAAAATCGTTCCAAAACTCGAAATGATTGTCGACCAAGCTTATGTAGAATCATTAATACAAGTGGTATACCGATTGTTGCATACAACATCACCGCTAATCTACCAAGTTTACTCTGAGCTGTTATATTACCATAACCGATAGTTGTGTATGTTGTCACTAAATATTTTGATATCAAACCACATCGAATCATTTCATATCGTATTATATCACACCATATCATATCATTCATATCACAACATACCATATGTCATATCATATCATATATCTATATCATGCCATATGTATTATGTCACATCGTGTTACATCGTATCATACCATATCATATCACAATCACACCGTATCATATCAGTAAATTGAATGGTTTTCACTCTTTGTGAAAATAAATTGGGAATCTTTTTCTTTTTTTTTAAATAATTATTTCAAAAATTACACTTTTAAGACTATTTATTAATTGTTCTTTAAAGAGAAACTAAAAAGCCCAGATTTTCTAAAATATTCAGAAAATCATGAGTGAAAATATTAAACTAATATTAAAGGAGAAAAAAAAACTATGAAAAAATGAAAACTGAGCATAAAGTAAAGTATAAACTGATAAATTAATAAGGTATGCTAAAAGTGTTTCGTAAAATACAAAAGATATTTATCTATTATACTTGATTATAACAAAAATAATCACAAGTTGTCTTTTCTATCATTTATCACCATTTTATTAATACATTAGAATAATTACCAGCTAAAAACATTGCATTCCAGAATGTCCAAGTTGGAGTAAAAAGATGAGTTAAACCAGTTAATGTTTTGAAACGAAACAATGCAGCTTTCATTTTACGGCGCACAACGATTGGACTAGCATTCTCTTCTAGCGCAATTTCCCAATATCTTAGTGATAGCTGGAAACTTGTAAAAAGTGATTAAAAAGGTATTAATTATCAAATTTAACTGGTAAACATTTAAATTTGAAATCTAATTTATTTTTTGTATATTTTTATGCATGAAATGATAACAAACCATTTCCATTTCTCAAAATCATTTGCACATTGATCTGACTATTTTATATACATTAGTAGATTATTAGTTAATAAAAATATAATTATTTCTACTTTTAATTTGAATATATGAATTGATATAAAAGGGATAAAAAAAGCAATATGATTGATAAGAAAAATGTTTATAATATTCTATTGAATAATAAAATATTTTCAATTGTGAAACAACTCTTAACAAGTAAGTTTAGATAAGATAAGAAATTTCTATAACCTTGAGATAGTACAAATAATTCTTCTTATCACCTGTTAAATTTATATTATCATGTCTTTATCTAATTAAAATCCAAAAAGTGCTAAAAAAAATTGACAATATTTGGTAGACGTAAAAGTTATTCATTTGTAGTATTATTACCTGTTCAGTATAATTTCGAAGGGCATACATTTGACCAAAATTATTACTAAAGTGATTAAGCCATATAATTTCCGGATATTGTGGTTGTAATATTTTAGCTTTGTAACTTTCCTGATCCGATAAATGATACATATTTAGAACGTACCAATAAACAGCCTATAATATTTATTCCCTAACTTTGCTTTTCTAAGCAATATATGATTGAAACAATATTTAACAATTGGTTCCACCGGAATAATAAATATTTACCAATGCACAAAAAAATAATTAATCACTTAAAAACTTAAAGATAAAGTAATAATCAAATAACCTTTTCGATTCCATTTAATGCAAAACGTTTATAGATTCGAATATTTTCATTAAGTTCAAATCGGTTATTGCTATATTTGAATCGAATTTGTCGAATTACTTCTTCAATATTTAGTATAATTTGATGCATGGAATGTTCCTCCCAGTTAAAGTATAATTTCTTCTGATCTAACAACAATCGTTCATTGGGAAATTCAATCAAATAAAAAATTAAACCACCGAAGAATGAATAAGCTATCAAGATGAAAACCGGAAATGTCGAGTGAACAATGGATTTGTTATAGATACGCTGTAATTGTAAAATTATTTAATTATTAGTTAACATTATTATTTCTTATCATTTTATAAAAAAATTTAATGAGTTTAAAAGAAAAAAATAAATAAGAAAAAGGTGGTATAGCCGTAGCTTATGCAATAAAAATTTATTTCTTATTGTAACTAATGAGGTTACAATTATTAGTTCCCACCTATACTTTCAGTATAATATTCTCATCATTGTGATAAGTTATCATAGATTAAATACTATCATAAAAATATATATAAACTATTTAAATGCTTATTTTTCTTCTTGATTTGTTATTGTAAAAAAAAAATAAAAATAAAAGTGAACAAACAATTTTATTTAATTAATTGTCAGTTTTAATAGGTACAAATTAACAATCAGCTCCCTATTTTAGTTTTAAAATGTTATTTTTTATTTGAACCTGTAATTGAGAACAAAAACGTTTGAATAAAGATTTTGTTTTGTTCGATTTCTGTTGACAATATTTGATAGATTCATTGGGTATATGTTGTAATGATTTCAAATTTTCGTCACTTTTTTTCTATAAAAAAAAATTATTCACATCAATATAATTACTATAATTATTTCAAATGTTAGCTACAACAAGAATCAATTTAATCAATTTCTTACTTGGATTATAATTAAAATTTATTTATTTATTTATAATTTAGTGCTAGCTTATGTTAGATAACTATAATTATTGCTTTTGATCCTTTCCTATGAATTAATCATATATGTTATCACTTAGAATAATATTAATTGACTCAATAATAACAAAGTAAATTACAGTCTTTCTTTCATTTTTTTTTTCGCTGGATATAATTAAATAGAAAAAAAAAAAAAAGAAAAAAAAGACGGAAAGAATAATTTACAGGACTGAATGACTTGAAATTGTATAATGAATTTTGTAATAATTGACATGAGAGAGTAGATTGCTGTCGTTTTTGATGGAAAGCAGATAGGATAGGATCGGTTGGCTTCATTTATTACATTCATACATTCATGGCTTGTTTATTAGTTCATAATTTTTGAATATATCTATAAAGAAATTATTATAATTAATTTAGATTCTTTTATATTCTCTAATAAATCTTATCCGATTCTCTATCCTGTTTTGATGCGCTTAATCAATAATGCCTTTTTATAATGAATACATTTTAAGATAACAAAGAGTAAGATTGATAATTTACTTGAAATTAAATGATAACAACTTTCTCTTTTCATTCATAATTTTAAATTGTAATTATTAAATTAAAACTTAAATAATTAAATGCAATGAAGTCAGAAATAAGATGATGCATGTTGGAATAATATTGAGCATATGATTTATGAAACGAACTAGAGATAATAATTATTGAAACGTAATTGAACTCATAAGGTGACTTTTTTTATAGAAATCTTTGTATACAAAAAGAAAAAATAAATTTAGGTTAAATTTTGCTCATAACTCATTTTCAACGTAAATTTCTCATTTCAAAAATATCTTACGTAAAAATTGCAATCAAACAACCACATGGCTTTATTAATAATAGCAAATGGAATATGGAGAATCCGAAAATTAATGTTATAATTCTACTTCGCTTTTATATTTCTACTATCATATTTCCTCACGGCCATGCTTCTTTACCTTTTCCTCTTTGTTGACTTCAATTTAAATCGCTTCATTTATTTTAATTCATTTCACTATTCTCACTGATATTTCATTTCTTTACTTAAGCCTATTTCAAATATATTAATTTTAATAAGAATCTACAATATTTATAAATATATTTGAAATCTGTCCCATTTAGAAAAAAAAAAATTTTTTTCCAACTATGCAGAATTAGCAAATGAAAAGACTTCATTCATTAATGACATTAATGACTTTAAAATATAAGAAAAATTTTATTTGAACTCAAATATATTTAACGAAAAAATAAGTAAAGGAAAATATACATTTCAATATTTCAAACCCAAAATAAATATTATTTTTATTAAAGATAAACAATTCAGTTATTTACAAGCTCCAAATTTTTTTTCCTTTTCCTCTTTATAAAATTCCTATAAAAATTGTCGTATACAGAGATGACAAAACATTTGCTTCACGTTGCTTGCATACCAATATTCCTTACATCATTATTTTTTTTTTTTCATTGAAAATAATATTTCAAAAAATGTTAGACTAGAAGGCTAATATTGGTATGATCCTATAATAATATTACCACCAATCATATATGCTTTATTTTTTCGTAACGATTCTTCATAATGTCTCGGTTGCAAAGCTTTAAAAGGATAAATATCAACGAAATGATTCTTTCCCTCTTCTTTCCGTGACCATAATGCACCCTCAACCATTGAACAGATCATTTCACATGCAATATAGTTCAAAATCATCAAAGCATTTGCAGCAACTTCAGGATCACCTAACCATTTCAAAAATCGATTGATTCTTGCTTTCCTGCAATTTATAGAGAAACTGAATTAAGCATAATTTCATCCTCTTTTGTCTAAATATTCCATTTTTCAAGCATTATTCATTAAAGTATCTAATGTAACAAACACTCAATTGCATATTGGATATGCAATTGAAAGCTTTCTAAAAGAAATTTAATTATTGAATTATGATTCTTCAGCTATTAGTATATTTTTATTCCGATAACTTATCAGGTCATAGTTGCAGCATAACAAGATATAAAATTAGATTTGAATTTTAAAATTTTAAAGTTACAAAGGTAAATTTTAATAATTAATACCTAATACCATGTCCAGCGCAGAAACTATATGTTCTTGCTATTGTATAATCTTTATACTCATCTTCATCCATCAATGCCGTACGTTCTGATAATCGTTTCAATCGTTCACGTTTTTCTTCATCAACTTTTACATCACTTTTTAAATATCTCTGTAATTCGCCCGTTACATCGAATAATCCAACACTATCATATATTGATTGTGCTCTAAAATAGAATGATATAAATAAGCAATCCGCAAAAGTAATTTTTCTCTTGCATTAAACTGAAAAAGATTATTTTGACATTAAGTTTCGTTAACTATTTAATACTACAAACCTTTATTAGTCATATTTATCAATAAAATACTCACACTGCCTTTTTTGGTAGCAACTTTGCTATAAATTATTACAACTATTTTACGGTAAAAAAATATCCATTGTATATAATGCTAATTATATAGTTTGGCTAATTACATATTTTCATGATCACTGAAGGAAGGTTGGACATTTCAATAAAATAATAGCTTCATATTTCACAATATACATCCAATATTTATAATATTCACTAAAGTTAAATAATTACTATCAACTGTAACTAATTACATATTAGTAACCACATTTGCATTAAAATATTTAAGTTGCTTGTGAAATAAATTTACAAGATTAACAGCAAATCGCTTTAGAGAATTAATTAATGACAAACTCTTTTCCACAAAAATCTGAACTAGTACTGGGAACTTCAGCCAGAATATCACAATCTGCTTCATAATCTTCATCGAAACCTTTTAATAAATCAGCTGACTGAAAAAATTGACTTTTCTTCAAGTCAATACAGTTTTTAATTTTCCACATAAAAATGATATTATACGAGTTCCATTTCATCTCTAATGATAACCACTGTCAAATGTCCTTTCTCCTGTCACTTTTAAATTCACTTATGAAGATTAAAAGATTAACAGCGAATCATTTTCGAAAAATATTTAATGATAAACTCTTTTCCAAGGAAATATGTATGATACTGCTTCAGTTATTAGATTCCAGTTTCAAATGAAATAAAGATAAATTTCATAATTACAAAAATATATGCAACAAGAATGTGAAAATTCCTTAACAGATAAATTTTTTTTTAAAATACTATCCTGGAGGAAAAAAATGTTTATGAATTACTTACTTTAGCTATACGATAAATGCGACCAAGATGAAAAGGTTTTTTGCGTAAAAGAAATAATAAATCAATACATTCGATTCTTTTACAGCTGCAAAAAAATCAAAATTGAAAACAAACTTTAAAACATTAAAAAAGTATGAAAAGTAAACAAATCTGAAGAAAAAAAAAAACAAACAAAAAAAAATTCACCCTCTTAATGCTGCACATTTCTTGGCTCTATTTACTGTATCTATCATCTGATTACGTAAAATATCGATGACGTATTTTTGACATCTAAAAGTGTCTATTCTTTCATTGTATCTTTTTCTTCGCCAGTGTGATAATACAATGAGAAATCTTAGTTAGCAATCTAATTAGAGTAAAGAATGAAAAAAAAGAAAAAAAAAAAAGGTTGAATACAAAACAATTATATAGTCGCATTGAGAATTGAAATAGTTATGTGTGAGATTTCGTTTCTTGGTCGCATAAACTAAATAAAAATATATAAAATATAAGATAAGTGAACAAAAATATAGAGTGCAAACACAATTCAACAAACACAGATGAACAATAGGCTAATAGATTGATAACTTTTGAAAGTATTTAAAAATGTTTAAAACTTGAAAAAATGGACAAAACGCAATAATTACGAGGTCCGACATCATGCAAAATTACTCACTACTACCTGACAAATGATTTTAATTCTACGAAATAGAAGATCACTAGAAGTAAATATAATTATTATGGAATAAATTAAAATTCTAAATTGATAACCTACATTTCAATTGGTTCAGCTTCATCACCGTAGGCAAACATTAATTTTCCAACAATTTCATAAATATCTCCCGGAACCGAAGTGTAAGCTATCGTTTTTTGATCACACATTCCGCTGATCACTTATCCATTCATTTATTAAATGAATTAGTAAATCATTCGTCCATCCAAATCAATCAACCAATTGATCGGTCAGGCAGCTATAAAAAAAGCATATTCAAAGATTTAAATATTAATTTGATGAATTTTACAATAGTGATCTTAATTTCGTCACCAATAAGAGAAGCAACTGGCTTAAATTTATTAATCTACGGAATGCAGAAAATGAAGATAAGAAATTAATTAATTGAAAACGAAAAACTGGTAGGATTTATCCCACACTCTTATAGTTCTTCAGTTTTTTTTTTTTTCGAATATATAACGTGATGAAAATATACGAAATGAAAGAAATATTTTAGCTTCTCCAATATTTAATTGACGATTTGAATTTAACGATATATAGTAAGAGATATAGATTGAACGAAGTGATAATTGTAAATTAAATATGAATATGCCAGTTTACAAATAAAGGTAATGAAGAAAATTATACTGCAACCAAGAATTTATCATAAAATATTGAAATGAATAAGAGCATTTAAGGCATTAGAAATAGGGGCATTTGAAACGATAAAGTATCGACAAAATTCCAATTTTATTTAAATATTTTAGAAATATGCCTTAGAAAGCAAAACCGGTCTTTTCCTTTTTTTTTTGCTTCAGTCATTTAAAATAAAACTGTGGTCAAAGATCAAACTTTTATTAGTGTCAATACAAAATCAATCAGTCAACTGATAAGAGAAATCATTATTGAAAAGAAGAGAAAGAAAAACGAAGAAACGAGAAGTTTTAGTCTCGTTTCTTATACCTGTCCTATTGGTACAAAATTTCTTCATCATTTAACATTTCTTTACATCTTGAATGGTTTTATTTCGTGAAATATTTCGAAATACTTCATTTTTTTCGAGGAATATTCCGAACTATTTCATCTGTTTATGAAATATTTTATTTATTTAACTAAAAACTCATTTAGCTTAGCTTCATTCTCGCTCTTCTCTCTCTTTTGACCTATTTCAACTAATCTTTTTTTGTTCCTTTTTCTCTTTCTCGTTTTTTGTATCTAAAATCATTTTTTCATCTAGTAATACGAATTTCTTACTTATTAAATTTGCATTTCATGCATATCTAAGAATGATAAGGATTCAACACGAATAATATCGTATCATTCGTTTCATCTACTACTACACGTACTAAACATTAACTTAATAAACAGTTGGCTTAAATTAAATCTTTCACCTAAAAATGGATCAACATCAGTAATAGGCGCAAATATGTGAACGTAAAGACTAAAAGTTGATGCTAATTCCCAAAAATTATCGTTAAAAAATGATAAAATATTTTGATAACACTAAATCGATTTCAGTTAACAAAATAAACAGACATAATAGAATGATAAACATTGAATGATAAAAGAGTGTATGAAAGACTAAAAAGAAGCATTCCTTAATGACAAAAACTCACAACACTTACTAAAAGCTCCAGTAACCGACAAACCGATAGGCTGTTCACCTCTTCCGTTCATTGCATATTTGTCAGGTACTGGATCGAATTGCAAAAAAAAAAAAAAAGCAAGAAAATTAAGGCTAGAGGTTCTGTTGCTTCTTCATTAGTTGACTAATTTATTTGTTGTTCGCAAAGTTTTTACGGAATTCGAAGTAAATTTAATTTCCGGTTTTGTTTTTCCGTTTCTTTCCTTCTATTCCTTTTTCATACTACTTTATCGTACCATTTGTATTCTACTATTTCTGTCTCTGCGAGTCTTTGACACGGAACCTAAAAAATATAATTAAATGTATATAAATATGGAGAAAAAAAAGAAAAGAAATATTAGAAATGTATTAACAATTGCAGTTTCAATTTTTTTGTTTTCTTCTCAATTTCTTCATTTCTTTAAAATTTTAATTTACTTCTGATTTTTTATATCAGAAAAAGAAGCAACATGATGTAAAAATGAAGTACTAATAAGGGGATAATTGTGTGTTTTTTTATTTTGGTATAAGAAATTGAAGGAATTTGAAAAAAATAAAATGAAAATTTAAGTTTACAGTCATTAGAAACTTCTTGAAATATTTACTTTTTTTTTCCTTTTGAAAGCATAAAATTTTAATCTAAATTTATGAAATCTGTTCCATATTTATCATGATTTTTCAGATAATCTAAATTTTGGTGATTTTTTAGTGCAAATTTTTATGCAAAGAATTTTAATTGCTTTGAAGGTTTATAATAATTTTATCAACGCATGTGATTAGTATTTGATAGATTTGTAAGTTCTCATACACTGAAAATAAAACATTAAGCTTAAGAAAAGGAATTTTCTTAGAATTTCAAGAATATTATACTTAGGAAAAAAGTAAAATTTTAACAATTGGTTAACGTTTTAAATTTTATTCCATTTGAAAATAATATTTTGACAGTTTCTTTTTTGTTTTTCAGACATTAATATGGCATCAGTTTTAGAACAAATGAAATTGTCGACAAAAGTTGTCGCAGATTGTGTCGATTTTAAAGGTTAAGTAAATCTTTTTTTTTGGAGAAAAGGATGTAATCTGCGCTAATTTCAATTTCTGATATTATAAATTTCTGATACTAGTCTTTCTGATAGAAAGGTAAAAATTAAAATTGAGATAGGCAAGGCTAGGAGATAATAGAATAAAATGAAGGAAATTTAATGAAATGAATATTGAAAGTTGTATAAAAGAGAAATAGAATAGGGAAAACAAAAAATGAGATAGAATAGAATAGGGTAGGAAAGAATAGAATTAGAATAGGACAGAATAGAATTGGAAGAACGAAACAGAAGAGAACAGAATGGAACTAAAAAGAGTTAAAACAGAACTTGGATGGGATAGTGGGAATAGAATAGAATAGGAATAAGAGTCAGGTAGAGTAGGACAGAAACAGGAATAGGAATAGAACAGAAGAAAATAGAATAGAATAAGAACAGAACAGGAATAATAGGAAAAACAGGAAATAGAATAGGATAGAGCGGGACAGAATAGGAACAGAATAGAATAAAAGATAGGGTACAATTGGAATAGAATAATGGTAGGGAGCTGGATGAAGTAGTGGTTTCTCCTTTTATTAAGATTTTCTGGAACATTAGTTTATCATTTCAGAAATCTTATTTCCATATAATTTTGGTTTAAAGAAAAAGAAAATTTTTCTTTCTTTGATTCAAAACCAATATTTTAAGGATCATGTTCCACTCGTATAAATTCTTATTTTAAAATAATATTTCAATATTTCTTTTTTCGCAGTAATGAAACAGGTTGGTGCCGTGGATGCTACAACAAATCCATCCATTTTATTGGCAGCATCAAAACTTGATGATTATAAGCGTTTTCTGGATGAAGGCATTGCATATGCGAAAAAATTCGGTTCGTCATTAAATCGTGAAGAAGTATGGCTTTTCTAAAACAGTTTTAGGTATTTTCTGAATTCGTGACATAACTATAAAGTTTATAGATCATCATAACATAGTTTTCTTTTGATATATTTATAATAGTAAGAACATCCGATTGTGTAATATTTATTCAGATGATGTAATATGACTGCATAAAGCGTTGAACACTTTTCTTTATTAATTTTTTAGAAAAGATTCTGACCATGAAATTCATCTATATGATTGAAAGAGTAGATTATAGCAAAATTAGTTATTCTTATCGATGATTTTTTTTTCCAAAACTTCTACAGTTGCGTGCTTTGGCTGTGGAAAAAATAGCGGTTTTGATGGGAAAAGAAGTATTAAGCGTTGTTCCTGGACGTGTTTCAACGGAAGTTGATGCCAGGTATAAATTTTTTTTTTCTTTTTTTTTTATGTTTTCATGTTACTATTACATATTGTTCAGTTTTTGTTGTTTTATTTTTATTTTTACTTAGTACTTAGTACTGCTTTCCCGTTAATGCTAAATAGTGATCAGTCTTTTAAATTGATGTTAAGTGAAATTAATCTTATCATAATTTTCCATTCTTTTTCAACGTAAAACATATTTTTGGTGAATTTTATTCTCTCTACTTTCAGACTTGCCTTTGATAAAGATGCTCAAATTGCAAAAGCACTGACAATTATAAAGCTATACGAAGAAGAAGCAATTACAAAAGAGCGTGTGTTAATAAAATTACCCTCAACTTGGGAAGGCATTCAAGCTGCTCGGTTAGTTCATTATATCAAACATGCAGGAACAGAAACATTTGTATTACTATTATTCATGACTTCATTAATTTTATACATTTCATTTACTAATTCTAAATAATGACAGACAGATTTATCATCAATTAAAAAAAAAAAGAAGAAGCAATTCTATCAATCTCTAACGAGACTATTTGGTTATTTAAGTGCAATTCAATTAATTGGTCTATTCCAGTGGACAGATAAAACATTTTCCAAACGGTTGTATGATTATATCTGAACATGGTTTTTAGGTCTTTTAGAATTTCATTTAATATATCTATTCTGCTCATCAAATATTTCATATTTCTGGTAGCTTTTTTATTAGTGAATGACTTATGCATCATCTTAGTTTTTTGAAAATATATTCAGATCTATCTACCTTTACCCATTACTAATCCCAGTTGGATCAGATTTCTATTTTTTTTTTTTTTTTTTAATTTATTTCTTATATTAACAAATTTCTCAATGTCAGCGTACTTGAGAGTAAGCACGGTGTACACTGTAATATGACGTTACTATTCAACATTTATCAAGCTGTCGCATGTGCCGAAGCGAATGCAACACTAATTTCTCCATTTGTTGGCCGAATTCGTGATTGGTATTTAAAAAATACAGATTCGAAGGATTATAATCGTGAAACGGATCCTGGTGTTCAGGTTTCTTATATTATCTAATTTTGTTTGAGTTAAATTTGAAGTTTGAGTTAAATTTGCTTTTAGAAATGAAATATATCAAGATAGAAAGATGTAAACTTTCCTTATTGTGATTTTTTTCTGACCAATTGATTTTTGAATAATCTTCAAATATCTTTAGAATGTTCGAAAAATCTATAATTATTACAAAAAGTATGGCTATAAAACGGAAGTTATGGCAGCATCATTTCGTAACGTAGATGAAATCAAAGGTCTTATTGGTTGTGATTTAATGACGATCAGGTACGAAACCTTTTTTTTTTGTTTGTTTGTCAACGTAAAATTCTAAAAATCCAATACTTCGTCTTTAAGAAATCTAATCAAATTGTAAAATTTATTTATTTATTTTTTGCAGTGCGGCATTGCTTAAAGATTTATCGGTTGACCACGAAAATGTCCCTGTAATTTTAAATCCAGAAAAAGGTATATATTTAATACATTATATATATATATATATATATATATATATATATATATATGAATTTCTTCATGGAAGACTGTGTTCTGTTTTTGATTTCTTTAAATAGAAATTTTTTATGAAATTGATTGTCACTGATATAAATGTAATATATTGGAAAAAAAAAGAACAAACTCTTGCAGCCAAATCATTTGAAATGCAAAAATTTACACTTGCCGAACCGATGTTTCGGTATGAAATGAATGAAGATAAAATGGCAACGGATCTTTTGGCTGATGGAATACGTCGTTTTGCAGCAGATGCTCGAGCAATGGAAAGTTTAATTGATAAAGTTCTGTAAGGAAAATATTCGGGATTATTTGTATCTGAAATAATTGATTTTTGCATATTCCTTTTTGTTTTGAAACTTCTCTTAATTCATACCTAAATGTTACATTATTGTTTTATTAGTTTATCATTCTTTTTTGAGTGATTTATTCTTGTTTACAAGTTTATCATATCTTTTAGCATTATCAGGATGAAAAAGATGGAGTTTTTTTTCTAATTTTAGAAATTAGCAAAAAGTATTTTACAGTTAGAATGCAATACATAGCAAAAAAATCAAATAGTATATTTAAGTGTAAATGAATTTCTGATTGTGTCACTTTTTTTTTATTAAAAATCTGTTTAAATGTGATTTAATTGGTTGTTCTGATTTAATTTTGACTTACTTCATTGAATATATAAGTTTGGCACAAAAATATCCTATTAAAGATTAATCATTTCGTAATGCTTTTAGTAAAATGTTCTTTTTGCTTTTTTAAATTCTATCATTCCTATTCAAATTCTAAAAGTTTATGATTTTTTTTTTTTTTCAAATTGTAATAATTTCTTACGTAATCCAAATCAAATTGACGCCATTATACTAAATTATATGAAAATTTCAATACAATTACTAATTTTTTTCCATTAGTTAAAAAAAAAAAGGTTAAACTATTTCATCGGTGCAATAATATTATTATTTCTCAAAAATTCTCAAAAATATCATTTTTTTTACTTTACTGCCAATATCAGTTCAGATTACAGTTTGAATTATAACTTATGAAATATGCCAAACTTTTTACATAACATTCTATTTTACTGGATGATATGTAATGATATGTAAATTTTGCTATCCTTTACTTTTTTTTTCATACTGAAAATTGATTTTAAAAAATGTTTTGTGGAAAGTTTTTGTGTTATCGTAGTAAAAGGTCATTAGTGGAATAGATTTTTTGGTTTCTTAGTTCACACACTTTTTTTCTCTTTCTTAAGAATAATACAACTCAATCATTCTTTGTTGATTTATTTTCTCTTATTCATAATTTCCTGTAAACTTTCAAATCATTGTGAATTATATTCATTATTATTTATCATTTCTGTGCCTTATTTTTTCTGGCTCTTTCTATAATTTTGGAAGTAAATTTGAAATGTTTGATTCATTTTATTTAATAAGTTTTCGCAATTTATTTTGTTATTTTATAAAATTTATTTAATTAATTAGTTATGTATCACAGCATAATATTATTTCTTTTTTTTTATCTACAATAAAAAAGAGTAAATATCATAGTCATTGATAAAATGATTAACGGATGTTTTTTTCAAATTTCTGAAAAGCTTTTTTTATAACTTTTTGTAACAAAAAAATTTCTTTGGCAAATGTTTTATTGCTCAAAAATGTTTAATTATCTTTGAGTTGAAATTTATTTGTGTTTAGAACGAGGAATATTTATATATGAAGTGATAAGTGATTTCATTAAAGTTCAAGTTTCAATCATTTCATTGCTTTTTTATTAATATCAAACCAATGAAGCGTATAGCGCGTTGTTTATTAATGCCAAATATGGATAGCAATATTCATCAAGCCACCAATTAATGTTGACATAATTAAAAGTGTTAGAACTAAGTAATTTTAAGATTGTTAATAAAATGAATTCCAGAAAAATTTCTGCTACTTTTTAATTATAATTTATTCTATAATTTTATTATTAATGCATCATACTTAGAAATAAGATAAAAGTATTGAAATAAAAATTTAACATAAATTATAATTGTTCTGTGCAATTAAAATGATAAGTATATCATATTGTTAATTTAAAAAAAAAAAAAAAAAAAAAAAAAGAAAAAAAAAGAAAACGTTATGATTAGAATAAAATGATAACAGCACTTTAACTTACTATTAAATAATTCTAATACTTTAAATATATCAGGTGAATGAACCAGCTGTGAAAATTCAATGAAAAATTCCCTTTCAATAATGAGCGTTATCATATACCATAAGCTTATTGATAAGCAAATTACCGATGGTGTTTCAACAATATTCTAAAATTTCATTTAGATATATTAACAATATCGAATTACTATCTTATTAATGCTAAACTTATTAGCAATTTTTTTAAAATATTTAATTGCTTATTATCAATCCTATCATACCAGTTGTATTTATTGATTCATCAGTGAAATTTCCAAATTAATCAAAAAGTTTATTATTAAAATTAAAGCCGATTTTTTCGTGTAATATTCATTAAAAGAAAAAATTAAATTTAAAATTTCTATGTTTTTTCTGATGAATTTTTCTAATAAAAACATTTTCTAAATTTTATACTTTTCCTAATTTCTAATACATCAACAATTTCATTAATTATTCCGCTCATTTTTTAATTTGTAGTCATTATTTCATATGTAATATTTCATTATATTAATAAATATGATTAGAAAAAAATAATTTTTTGCCTATGGACGATTTTTTCTAATATTTTATTCACAATTCTTAATTTATAAACCTATATATTTGGCTAGAAACTTTACATTCAACAATTTTATTGACATAAATACTTTTCATTTAATTTCCATTCCATTCTTTTTACTATTTAAGCTTACAAGAAAGAAAAAGCTTTTCTTTGAACTGACTTTATTTAACGAAATTTTATTTAAACAACTGAACAATTATTGTAAATTGCAGCTTTGAACATTTTTTTAATGTATGAATGCATTATAATTTCAATGTATAAAAAAGCTCACACATCTGGATGGAATCTAAATGGTTGCTATGTTTTTGATTTTTTCAAATTTGATAAGAAATGAAAATAGCATTTGTTTTTTTTAATCATTTAAAAAAAAATAATGAAAAGCTGGAAAAAAATTTTGCAAAAAAAAGAAAGAAATTTTTTTTTCTTTGCAATGTATTAAGCTAAAATTAAGCCAATTATTATCATTAAACAATTCTAATAGTTTATCCAACCAATTCTTACAATAATTAAAAAGGATCTGAAAGCTTCAAGTTTTTTAAGCATCTTAAATTTACGCTTAAGAACATTTTAATTTATATACAAGGCTGGAAAATTTAATTACCTTTCTCAGACTCCATCTTTTTGCTTTTTTATTTTCTCTTGACAAAATATTGAAGTAATTTTAATAGTTGATTGTTTATTACTGATATCATTTATTACTAATATTAATTGGTATTTTAGTCATTAATTGCTATTATCGATGGCAATTTTAATAAGTCATTAAAAATTTATTTGTTTTAATTGTTATCAATTAGAAAATTTGCATAATTTCTGATTGAATAATTTAATATTTTATTCTAATTTGCTTTACAAAACAATTGGAAGACTTTTGTAAAACTGTAGATTCTATCAAAAATTAAACAAAAATCATATTCATGGGAATTACAATTGAAAAAAATTTCTAATTTCAGAGGTTAGTTAAATAAATTTATTATTTCAAAAGTTAATTACTCAAATCTTTGACATCAAAAAGCAAATGCGAAAAAGTAACTTTTTTGATATTATTATATTTATATCTATATATGCAATTCGAATTCTTTTATATTTGTTTGTTTTCAATTTTTTTTCAAAATTTTTTCTTTTAATTCAAAGTTTAGCATCTTTAATTAAATCATAAGTAAAATTTGTGATAAATCTGTGCACAGAAAAAATTTTGGAAAAGACTTTGTCATTTGTTTCTATCTGAAGACTAAACATAAAAACGATTAAAATGATAGAAAATCCAATCGTTATTTTAATTTCTTAATGGTTAAAGGGAAAAAAAAGAATTAAAATACCATAGATCTAACCATCATTTCAATTTGTGGTTTTTGCCACTTCCATATTGGTTGTAAGATATTTCCGGATTTCAAATATTTTTCTTGGAAAATTTCCTTCGATCATTATTGTTTGATCGAAGTAACCATTTATTTAAGCAATGCTCGTGAATATCGCCCATCTAACAATTTTTTTTTTCGCTTACTTTCTTTCTTTTTATTTTTTATTTTCTTTTAAATAAAAAACTTTTATTATAATTGAAAGCGAACATTGTGAACGTTGTAATAAATAATAATATAAATCATTATTTAAAAAAATTTGTTTGAATCAATTAAATGATAATTTATCACTTATTTGATTAGATAGACTGAAGAAAATTTTTTTTAATGCAACATTTATTATTTTTAAGCAAAACTCATGGGCAAAATTATTACTTAAATTATCAAATAGAATGGAACGTTTTAATGACTTATCTATTGAAATTAATAACTGTTTCAAGTTTTTTGTTTTATATGTTTATACCTCTTAAGTTGTATACGTTTGCATTTTCTTAAAGTCATAAATTACAAAATGGATGAAAAAAAAGAGACACACATTAAGATCTGAAAAATATACTAAATCTATTAATTTGTCCATTTGATATAAGCTAGCTATAATTTAAAAAATGATTAGATTTTCGTCTATCTTAACCTGGCTAATTAAATATATCGGATTAAATATTAGGTAATAATTTATTACATTAAGTACATTAATTAAGTACATCAAATATATCTAATTAAACATAACGTATTAATTATATCAAACTAAGTGCAACGAATTAAGTATATCAAATATGTCGAATTATTTTAAAATGTAATTAAAAAAGGTTTGTTTAATATATAAATCAATTTATTGCACCATAACTCATTTAAATTGCAAATTTTTAGCTTCAGCGAAGTAATAATATGAAAAAAGGTGAATCAGATACGGTTTTCGGTGAGCTATAATTGTAATTTGTATTATTTTATGTGAAAATTTTTGGTGGAAAATACAAAAATGAAATTTCATTTAGTACAAAATTTTCTTTTTTTAGAAATAATTTGGTATTAATTCCGAAAAACGAAAATTTTTCTTTTGTAGCATAATTTTTGATTGCTTTAGTTTTTAAAGATTTATTCTTTTAATTTAAATAAATGTGGTCGTACAAATATTTCAGAGTACTTCAAATAGTCTTTTTTTCTCATTTCAATTTGTATTTTTGATAACGTTTTTTCTTTTTTTAACCTTTTGTTTTTCT